CTGTGGGCACTGGTCCTCTCCTTCTTTATAATGCCAAAGTTTTATTTTGTTTTAGTATATTTATTTAGTAATTTTTCATTGGTCTTATTACGCTAAAGCTAGAGATTTTACTTCTTTACTATGCTAGAGCAGGGGTCTCCAACCTTTTTCAATCAGAGAGCCACTTTTATACAAAATAAAAGGCAGAGAGCTACTCCTTTTTGCAGTCATAATAAAAATCTATCTCATAATTACGGCACAACATGGAGAACACATACCATGATACTGTATAACACAATATTTGTACTTATAGATATGTATATGACTCAAAATGTATTAATTCCAGATCATTTGCTAAATACTAAATCCTTTGGCGAGCTACCTGAAAGGGGCTGGCGAGCTACTGGTAGCTCTCGAGGCACAGGTTGGAGACACCTATGCTAGAGCTAGAGCTTTTAGACTTGCTTCATTATTATGCTAAAGCTATAGATTTGATTTTATTTCAGTATATAGAAACTGGAATTGTGTTTTCTCATAATGGTCTTTATGGATTTGCCTCTATCAGAATGTGGAGCAACCTAATATCGAAATGCACCGTAGCCTGGGTGTTGGTTTGTCCCAGGGCACATGTGACACCCCCCAGCAGCTGCCCTCTATATTTACCCCAGCTCTAAGACACAGCTCTGATTACTGCAGCGTGATCTCTGCTCCCTTCATCACAAACTTCAAATATGAAATCTATGAGCAGTATTTAAGCTACATCCAGTCTCCTATTCCGGCCTCTACTCACTCTGTCTTGTTTTTACCCTTGTGGTGTGTATTCAATTATTATTATTATTATTATTATTATTGTTGTAATTCATTTCATATAAAGGGTGTTGCCAGGATTTAAGAAGTAGGTCACTGGGGCAGAGGCCTATGTTGTCATTGTTGTTTTGCTGATGGATTTTAAGCCCCGTCTTTCGTTGTGGCTTTTGAGTTGAGTTTAGTCTATTTTTGAATTCAATGTACATCAATATTTATTATCAAAATGTCAGGACATAGTATTTTCATTAACAATTACTTGATAAAACTGGAAAAGTAGGACTGTTTCTCATGGTTTTTTTTATGAATTTGTGATAACTTTGTAACAGATGAATTGTGTGTGTGTCTATCTTTTTTAAATCGTGCCCTTGTCTTAAGATGTATGACTAAATTTCTGCATTAAAAAAAGAAAAGAAAACATTTTAAGAAGGAATTAATATGGGCAACATGCAGGAAAGAGACTGCTGTCAATCTGAATCGGAAAGGCGGTGGTTACCTTTTTAAGCGGTCTTTTTCTTTGTAATATTTTAAATGTATTTTTTTCTGTATTTTACGTGTCGTGTGTGTTTTTTATTTATCTGTTATAAGGTGTTCTTGGGTGTCTTCAAAGGCGCAATGAAAGAAAATGAATTATTGTTTTAGGGTTGTTTCCCCAGAGTTTGTGAAGCTAGTTTATGATAATCTTTTCACTACAGTTTTATTCTTGTAATATCCATCCATCCATCTTCTTCCCTTTAATCCATTTCTGGGTCGGGGGGGTGGCAGTCAGAGCCAGTACACATAGCACCAGCCCCTCACTGATCCTCCTGCAGGTGATGAGTCCACAGAAGCCTTGATTTTGCAGCGAGAGATTCAGGCACAGTTGGGTTAAGTGTCTTGCTCAAGGACACAACAACAGCAGTCATCAGTGAAGTAGGTCTCGTGATGAGCTCAAACCCACAACCTTCAGGCTCAAAGGCCAATGCTCTACCAACTGAGCCACTATCGCCCCATTTATCAACAGTTTCCATAGTATTAGTATTCAATCACTTTTGTGTGCCCATAACAACATCCTGCCACTGTCATGGTGAGTTGGATTTTCTTATTTTGGTACTTTTTTATTATAACATTGTTTTAGCATTTTATCTTTATTTTTGTTTCCTATCCTGTGCTCATATGTTCACTGTCTGCCCCACTCTCATGTGTGTCACCTGTGTCTCTCTGTACCTACTGTATATGTACCTGTGCTCTTATTTGTTGCTTGTACATTGTCTTTGCCGTTCCTGGTTCTTGTGTTTCATTTGGATTTATGAGTCTGTTTTTCCCCTGGACTCTAATCCATCATCATTAAACCATTTTTTTGTTTGTATTTCTGCATTCTGGGTCCTCTTTTAGTTCACCACATGACGGCCACAGCCTAATGTTTTTGGTTCATGCTCTTTTGTCCCTTGCTCCTTTCAAAGCCCACAGTGACAGTGGCTCAGTGCAGAGACTAATAAAGAGAGAGCCTCTAGTCTTAAAAACAGGATACTCACTCAGCGATTGGGGCAGAGGAAGTTCTTTTGTGTGGGAAAGGGCTGCCTTCATAGTTTCTACATTACATCAGGGCATTTCTAAACGACTTTGTGAGGTAGAAGTAAGGGCCAGATTAAATTAGGATAAAATTATGTACTCCTCTATTGTCTCCCATGCTTTATACCACATTTGCATACACCACAATAGACATCAAACTTGAAAAATTTAACGGACCAAAAATAGACCATCATCAGAGACCTCTAGGATCATAGGAAAAAAATACAAATGTCTATTTTATATTTCTAGTTTGTATGTATTTTTTGTTTTTCTATTTCCTCTTCTTCATATGTCTGCATTCTTTTGGATTTTGAGTACAATCTCAAATACACTCTAGTTTGTTTGTTATAATGTAAATTACCTATGTTTCCCCTTTTGTAAAAAACAAAACAAAACATATCAAAAAAATAAAAAACAGTTACTAACAGGACATCAAAATACTTCAGAAAAGTCCAAAATGTTCTATTATATTGGATTTACCCAAAGCCTAAAGTGCAGTAAATAAAGTGTATTATCTGGAGCTGAGCGAAGGGAAAGCCCCTCTAAAATGTCACCAGAAGTTATGCCCAAACATAGACATTGAAACTGCAGAACACAGGAAGTTTAAACGTCAGACGAGTTTGTGGAAAAACAAGAAAGTCCCAGCGGAGCTTTGGTAAATCACCAATTTTGAAAAAATAGCTGGTCCCTGGTGTCCCGGCGTCCTGGTTGTGTGTTGTGTTACTTCTGACCCTCCCGAATGCAGCTGCTTCCAGTGTCACGCAGAGACGCTGATGGAGGCGGAGGATGGTCCAGGAGCCGGACACATCACTTAGCAACAGATGGAGACCAGGGCAGTGTGGACGGGAGAGATCTGGGACTCTTACAATAAGTTATTATGTCTGCCCCATAGCTGGAGAAATGCCCATTGTATGCGTTAACAATAAAGTCATTGTTGGCAGACCCAGATGTCTCAGTCTACTTCCTTCTGCTCCTTCAAAACAAAAGCTGGACCTCGTTATCTGAGCTTCAGTATTGTGACCTCTCTCAATCTTCTCTTGACCAGAGAGCAGGTCGACTATATCATATACAATATATGATAGTAATTCAAGTCTTGTTTGGACGAATGCAGAGTTTGTTGTGTTCTGAGTTACAAGCTGCCATATTCCCAGCTGTTCACAGTGTGTCAGGCTGTAATATAAATAGACCTAGAGATTAACTGGAAAAGTGCCGGTGTTTTGTCGAGCCAAAGGGGAACTCTCTGTGTTTATGCTTCGTTTATCAGACCTTTGTCCTTTAACACAATCACAGACTGCAAAAAATAAAGAGCCATGGCCTTTTAGAGCTGTGTGTGAGTCCATGTTACCTTCTGATCATTAGTATGGCAATGTATTGAGAAGGGAACATACAGTAAAGTTATGGGCAAGACAAACATATAAATAATGCGGCGACAATGAGTCTTTGGACCTAAAGCTCGTGGGTTCGATGCCCCCATGACCCATGTCACCGGCTCCCTCTGATGTCTGCTGTTGTTGTGTTCCTAGGCAAGACACTTAACCCCACTTTGCCCGAATGATCAAGGGCATGTTTTTGATGACGTAGAAGCCATCTCCTCGAGGAACCACCGCCTGCAGGAGGATCAGTGAGGGGCTGGTGCTTTGAGCCAGAAATGGATTAAGGGAAAGAAAATGACACATTATATAAACAATACCCAGACAGAACTGAAAACAGCAAAATCTGTTAGTAAAATTTGGGTAATCTTATTTTATTTTTATTTTTTTGTAAAGAAACCTGACCAAAAAATAATGTATTTATATATTAGAATGACTCAAAAACATATATTATTATTTTCAATATAAGCACAGGCCATAGTATTTTTCATTCCAGTTTATATATTGATTTGAGACATTTCAGATATTTATGATACAAAAGTATATGATCTGTGTTTAATGAATTGTGCTTATTTAATTGAAAACTTCACATGTATCACATATGTCACATCATCAGCGAAAACTCTGCAGCTTTTATAAACAATACAAAGTAATTCTCATAAAAATGTTTTGAATGGTACAAAACAAGTGTTCCGAATCTTCTCACATTGTTTTCTCCTCACATTTATTTTATTTCTCAGAGACACTGGTTGAAAAACTGGTAGAGTCTATGTATATGACCCAAAACCAGGAAGTAAATGATACATAGGCAAACTAGCAAAATGGGAATGTTTTTTATTTGCATGTGATGTTATAGACGTGCCATTCAATGTCAATGTCAATGTCAGCTTTATTTGTATAGCACATTTACTACAACACCAGCTGCCCAAAAGCAAAACATTTTTGCTTTTTGAATTGTGTTGTCTCATAATTCCTTTTTTCAGCCTTTATGAGATTTGTCGGAATCAGAATGTGGAGTCACCTAATATTTAAAACACGTTATAACTTATATACAGTCTATGGTTATAACGCTGGAATACGTTTTATTTTGAAATGCTTCCTGGTTTCCGGTCCGTGCGTCAGCGTCAGCGTGAACTTGTCAGACCCTTCTCCGCTGCGTGAGTGAGGCGTGTATGGTGTGGAGGCTGCGTAGCTCTGAGCCCGGGACACAGGGGCTTTACCGCGGCAGCAGGTGGACCTCAGCCCGGCCCCCCCTTCGTACATATGGACCCCTGAACCCAACCGGATCACTTCACCATGACTTCGGTGTGGAAGCGGCTGCAGCGGGTCGGCAAGAAGGCGGCCAAGTTTCAGTTCGCAGCGTCTTTCCAGGAGCTCATGATAGAATGCACAAAGAAATGGTAAGACATTTCAATAAACTCAATTTACGAACTCCCGATGACTGTTCTGCAGGTATATTACTGTATTAAAGTCAATATATTGTCATAATTGTGAGAATATAGCGCATCCATTTAAATCCACGTTACTCAACGTAACTTTAGCTCTATGAATATAATAATTAAAATATTCACAATAATAAAACACAGTCATGTCAATTGAAACTTGTCACAAAACAGTGTAGTATACGTGTATAATCGTCCAATATTTTTAATTGTTAGCTTGTTACACCTCATGTACAACTCCATCATCAGCAGTAGAAGTTGAGGATACAGCTATAACATGCTTGTGCTTATATGCTGATAATAATGTGAAAGTATCCATCAAAGTCTATTTGTTTACATTTATCTTGCATTATATTTACTGTAAACTATGGATTCTCTGTTTATGCGGGCAACAAATCACACCCTGTTGCATATAGGCTGAAGATAGAAGATCAGTCTGTCTGGCTTTGAAACCAACCCTGCACTTCCGTGTTTTTATTTAGAACCTGTGTAGAGTTACGGCGTGTGCATGTCAGGCTGCCACTGCTAAGTCATGCTAGCAGAGATCAGTGCAAAGACCCACATGTGCAACTCAGGTCCAGCTCATACAGATGCATTCACGCTTCCCCTTTTCGTGTAAGGTGTGAAAGACAATGTTTGCAATACAGTCTTATTTTTCAATGCATTGAATACTGGGCGAATAGGAGGCAGAGGAAGTGTGAGATGACCACAGATAAACTAGCGTATCACCACTGTGAATAGAATGAAGGAATAATGCCATGTGAAGCGTCTTCCAGTGTCCAAACAAGCGCTATATAAAACTGATGCATTATTAATTTTAATTTTAATTTTTATTTATTATAATTTGTAATATTAATCCAACTGTTTATCCAGCAGAAGCTTGTACCAGCTTTCTATAATGATTCGCATCTCCAAACTGCCTTGTCCGCATGTCTCCTGGTATTCTTAACCTTTCCATAAATTTTTAATATGTGTCCGCCTCAGGTCTCCAGAGGAAAATGTACTGCAGGTTACTGCAGGTTACGTTATTACTAAAAGTATGAGTCTATTATGCGATAGTTTAGTCCCATCTCTTTTTAATACAGCTTCAGTGATTGTTTAATTATCCTAAGTATACCATATCAGTTCTTCAAATCCTTTAACTCAACATCACATGACATGATTACTGCCTCTTCACACTATATAAACATGCATTATTCTCACAGTAAACGGCCATTGTTCACTTTTGCATTTAGTCGTCAGGGTGATTTATTTAACATATTTCTCCTTCTATTCCAATATATTATTATTTTATAAAAGACAATTGATTTGTGTTTATATAACATATTTAATGGGCAAATGGGTGGCTGAGCAGTTTGCACTCTCACTTCTCAGCAAGAAGGTCCTGGGTTCTATTCCACCTCCAGACAGGGCCTTTCTGAGTGGAGTTTGCATGTTCTCCTTGTTCTGCGTATAGGTTTCTCCCATGGGAGATCAATCTATCTATCTGTCTATGTACCTGTGTAAATATGTATCTATATATCAATCTATTTGTCTGACTGACTGACTGTCTATGTATTTATCTATCTGTCTGTCTATCCATCCATTTTCTTCCCCTTAATCCATTTCTGGGTCAGGGGGGTGGCAGTCAGAGCTGCACCCAGTTCACATAGCACCAGCCCCCTCACTGATCCTCCTGCAGGTGATGAGTCCACAGGAGTCTTGATTATTCAGTGGGGGCTTCAGGCAAAGAGGGGTTAAGTGTCTTGCACAAGGACACAAGTACACAACGACAGCAGTCATCAGTGGGAGTCGTGAAGTACGTCTTGTGGTGGGCTCGAACCCACGACCTTCAGGCCCAAAGGCCAATGCTCTACCAACTGAGCCACTGCCGCCCCCAATCGGTCTGTCTATCTATCTATCTATCCATCTGTCTATCTATCTATCACTATCTATTTGTCTAAATATACAGCCCAGTGTCTGTTGCATCATTTGGCTTATGTATTCCACTTGCACTTCCTCTTGTGCCACCTGCAATTTAACTGAACTGCTGTGAGAACACTTCCTTTTAGGTCAACTGGTCCTTTTATTGAAGTAGAAAAAGAAAAACACATGGATCCTCAGCTGTTGAGCAAAACTTTACCACTGCACGCCTAAACATCATTCTCTGATTTCCGTCATATTGAACAGATCTAAACAGGAGTGACTCTGTTAGCGTCCCTGTCCTAGCAGGACACTTGGCTGCGGGACAGTCCAAGAGCAGCAGCGCCTTTAATTCCATTACGATTAGTCAGGGCCGCAGCATGTGTTTCCAATCGCTGTGTTTGTGTGAGTGTGGAAGCATTATCCACAGTCACCAGTATCAACATGCCTCACACTGCAGCCTGTTACACTCTGTTCTCTGTCTATGAGACGTATTTACTGTCAGAGCAACGCCTTTGTAGATCATGTTTTACACTGGAACACGGGGGCGTCATTAACACACTCAAAAATACACAAATAAATACAAATACACAAGGAAACACTAGACTTTAAGGATGCCCCTGGAGGTTACTGTTACATATCGTCATTAAGATGAATATTAAGATGAATATTAAGATGAATAACCTTTATGCGTCCCATAGTGGGTAAATTTCGGGCTTACATGAAATTTGCATCACCGATTACACAATAGTAGGAATGAGGAGCACACAGCAGAAGATAAATGACTCTATACTAAAATAAAAAGTGTACAATTTCTAGTTTTAACATAATGAAGAAGCAAGAATTAAGTATGACAACTGCAATAAATGATTTAATGGAATGTTTAACCGTTTAAATCGAAATGGAGAACGAAAAAAATATTATAGTTTCATGTATCTACAGAACTCCAGGCTTTAACATCAATTTGCTGAATTTGTCTAGTGGTGCGAATAGTTCCAATTTTCATGTGAGATTGCCTGTACTTTTCCCTTGTTTTGACTATCTCTGCTGGCACTGTGGCAGCTGCTGATTGGAGGACTCCATTCTCCCATGCTATATTATCACTAACAGTTTGTTACATCCTTTGTTCGTGTTGTTCGTGCTGTCTCTACCATCGACAATAAAACATGTCTTCTGTCTGAATGAAAGATGCGATCCCAGACTTTGTCATCTTCTTCAGTCATGTACAGTAAAGGCCTGTATCCAGCCATCACAATGCCCACTCGAGTCACACCTAGTTGTGCTACTTTGATGGATAATGTTTTCTTAAATGTGGGCTTGCTAGAAAATTCAGTTAAGAGTGGTATTCTGGTAAATGACACAACTGATCATCTTCCTGTATTTGTAATTTATTCATGTGAAATGAAAAATAATGAGAAAAAAAAGCCCATATTTCTTAGAATAAGAAATGAGGAAACATTAAGGACATTTCATGATGATCTCTTAAAAGAACAATGGGAAAGTGTTTATAAAGCTAACGGGGCAAATACATGTATTTTACAACAAATTCCTTGAAAAATACATGCTGTTGTATGATAAGAACTGCCCCAAAAAAACATTTGAAGAAAAATCAAAAAATGATGAGAAGCCCTGGTTAACAAGGGGGCTATTAAGAGCATGCAAAAAGAAAAACAAACTCTACAAAGATTCCTTAAAATTGAGAACACAAAATGCGTATAAAAAATACAAAGAGTATAAAAACAAATTGACCAGTATCAAGCGTAATGAAAGAAAAGATTATTATTCAAATATGTCAAAGAAATGTGGAAAGTTCTACACCAAGTTATTGGCAATAAAGTTATTCACAGTCACCCATCCTTCTTGGTTAATGAACAGGGCAGACAGATACCAACAAGAAACCAACAAGCACCTTAAAACTAGGCTCTATTCCTCTTCCGTTATCTCCATCTGAACAGAGGCAGCAAAAGATCCAGAGGGGAACGACTTATGAACGATTTTTCTGCAGCTCTGAACAACTTCCAGTCAAATGGCAGATGCATTGAATTCTTTTTTTGTTAATGTTGGCCCTAACTTTGCCAGGTCAATTCAAATGACAGATCACAATGAAGGTATTTGGAACTATGAAAATCTGGATGAAGTCAGTGAAACTGAAATTATTGCCTGCATCTCTAAAATGAAAAATAAAAAATTGTGTGATAGTGATGGTTTAGATATGTTCATTGTGTAAAGTTTAAACCATTAAAACATATTATTAATCTCTCTTTTAACAACAGCGTTTTTCCAGACAAAATGAAGGTAGCGAAAATAATCCCCATCTTCAAATCGGGTGACAAGCACAGTCTGACGAACGATCGACCTATATCGTTGCTTTCCCAATTTTCCAAAATACTAGAAAAGCTTTTTATCGATAGATTTGACATGTTTATTGAAAGATTTTTTCTGTTAAATGACAGTCAATATGGCTTTAGGAGTAATAGGTCAACAGCCCTTGCACTCATGAAAATAACAGAGGACATTACAACTGAATTAGATTACACAGTCTTTATCGATCTGAAAAAGGCTTTCGATACTGTTGACCATTACATTCTTCAGAGATGTGTCGTGTTGCAGTGGGTTGCCAGTTACTTGGAAAATTGTCAACAGTATGTAGATTTTGCAGGACACTTATCAAAGAGTCAGCAGATAAATTGTGGTGTACCACAAGGGTCTGTTTTGGGGCCAACATTTTTCATTTTGTATATTAATGACCTTTGTGATGTGTGTAAAATATTACATTTTGCACTATTTGCAGATGACACAAATTTCTTTTGTTCTGGGACAAATATAAGTACTTTAATTGCTACTATTTGAAAAGAGATGGTCCTACTTCAAAAATGGTTTAATGCCAACAAACTCTCCTTAAATGTAAACAAACCCAAGTTCATGCTGTTCACCAATCAAAAAAGGGTGGACGATATTGAATTATATTTTAATCGTGTTAAAATCGAAAGGGTTTCCAAAATTCATCTTTTAGGAGTCATTATTGATGAAAACCTAAGATGGAAGCAACACGTTGCTTCAACAAAAAATAAAATCTGTAAGAATCTTGCCATATTGAGCAAAGTAAAATATCTGTTAAACTACAAGACAATGTGAACTCTATGTTCTTTGATCCTCCCATATTATATGTATTGCCTTGAAGTCTGGGGCAACTCCTACAACACTCATTTAATACCTTTAGTCATCCTGCAAAAAAGAGCTTTACGAATAATACACAAAACTGCTCCAAGATAACACACAACTGAACTGTTTTTGAAGTCAGGACTGTTAAAAATGAAATATTTAATTGTATTACGGACGTTATTGATTATGTTCAGAGCACGACATTATTTATTGCCCCGTGGTCTTCAAATGTTTTTCTCGGTAAACGATGAAATCAGCAGAAGGAATCTGGATTTTAAAATGCCTTTTGCAAGAACAACACTCAAACAAATGTCCATCTCATGTGCTGGTGTAGAACTATGGAACTCTGTGGACAATGAATTTAAAACATGTTCAAATAAATTACAATTTAAGTTTAAATGTAAACAAAAAAATATTAAGTCCTATGTTAAATGAAGTGAGAAATAGTATTGTATTTGTATTAGTTGTATTAGTTGTATTTGACACAAAGCCATCTATGTTTGTTGTCTTACTGTCATAAGATTGGGGTAGGGGTTTAAATAAGACTTGGTCTTCATCCTACTCCTGTTCTTTATGTGACTGTAATGTTATATAAGAACAAATAATTGAATGAATGAATGAAAGTAAAAAATTCAGGATTGCCTTGATTTAGCTCACTGACGTCTGCACGGCAAAATGCATGTGTCTCTGGTGCGCACTGCCTCTATCTATGAGACATATTTAGTCTGAGCGACACCTTTTATAGATCAGGTTTTACACTAGAACACAGGGATCATCATCAACACACTCAAAATACACAAATACACAAAGAAATACTGGACATTTTGAGGATGTCCCTGGAGGTTACAGTTACATTCCATCATTCAAAATGGCTTTTCTTTTTGCAAATTCTGTGGTGCGCCCTGTATTCATTGAAAACACTATTGTTGTATACTGTTTATTCTGACTTTAAACAAGCAACAAACTTGAAAAACTACAAAGTGAAAGGTATTGTGAGTAGATGGGATGTGTCTTCCTTAAAATGTGAGACAGGCTTCTTCTCTGACAATGTTCAAATCCAGTTTAAAAACAGTTCTGTTTAGCTGTGCATACGGCTAAGGGATTTTTTCTTCACTCTTTTTAATGTATCGCGATAATTTGATATATATTTTAATGCCTTGTGTGATTTTTCTTGTGTTTTGTTTTTGTGTCTAAACTGTGCTATTCAAATAAACTTGCCTTGGCTTGGTAGGAAGAATGCTTTAACATTGTGGGATGATCAGTGATGTTGGCGGGGTATGCTGTCTACGAGTGCATGTTCTAGTTCGAAGGTATTCAACTCTTTCCTCAAAGGGTTGGTGTGGCTGCAGGTTTTCCTTCCAACTAAACAGGAGCACACAAGACTCCACCCCTTTCCTCAAATGCTTGGTTGGAATGAAAACCTGCAGCCACACTTGACCGAGTTGAAAACCTCTGTTCTACTTCCTGTTTAATCTCTGTTTGTGGTGTGTTATTGAAGCAGCTGCTGGATCCTGTACCTGATATTACTGCAACATGTAGTTTGTCCTTGTGCTGTGATTTAAGATTATCGCAGACTACAGTATTATTAAAACCTCCGCACACACAGTTTGGGTGGGGACACTTTCTCATAACAGTTTTGGTTGCAAATGATAATAGTCTATCATCTAAAATAACAATGGTAAAAATTACATAACAATTGTGTTTTTTTCTGATTCTTGCAAATTGACGTCTTTTAGTTTTGGAAGTGTAATTACTGCTTATGTACATGTGTGTTTCTTTATGTAGTTTATTTCTGTCATTATTTTTATAATTTATTTTATTTTTGAAAAGTGTGAGTTCTATACTTTAGCTACGTTAAACATTCTATGGCAGCAACTCTTCTCAAGGTCCTGGTCCCAGACCGGTACTGGACTGGTCCTTGACCGGTCTTGGACTGGTCCTGGTCCCAGACTGGTCCTGGACCAGTCCAACACATACTTAATTTAGTGGTGAAACACTGAATCTGTTTATTGGGATTTTATCTGAATTCCCTTGATTTGAATGGGGGAGTCCTGGTGTTACGCAACACAACAAAGCAAGATAATTGAATCTAATAATTGTGAGATTAGTGAAAATGGAATAATAATACAATGACATCATCCTGACATGTATTTCATTATTAGAATAGTTGTTAGTTATGGAATGTTGGCCGTGTGGACGAGCTCGACATTCAGACAACGTCTGAATGAGAGAATTCCCCGTTTCTCCAACATTCTCATCATTGCATTGTGTTTTATGTTATTTATGTTACTGAGAATTGAGTTTGTAATTGATAAAACTGTTGAAAGCACTTTTAAATACATTGAAGAGAATGGTTTATTTCAACTGGATCAAAATCACAACATAAAGAATGCTAACGCTAGCTGAGAAACAAAAAAGTCTAATGTATTTCTGTGGGAGCCATAGGCCTTTCTTACTGTGAATATGTGTTATTTTTAAAACAACACATTTAGAGTGTAATTTTAGTCTGAGAATGTATTATTTTGTTTAAATAAATTTTAATTGAATACAACACATACAAAGTTCTTACTATCAATGCATTTAGCCTATTTTGTTAGTATTTTGTTCTAACCAGACAACAGTAGGTCAGAGATAGAAAAACCAAATATTAAAGAAGACAAGATGAATCTAGCTATTATCCTAATTTTATTTCAGCCTAATATTATACTAAGATTGGCCTGAGAGCCTGGACACAATCACAAAAAACACATGGGTCCTGGGCCATTGGTTCCAGTCCTCTGCCACAGATGAGAGCTTGAAGACCGTGTGGATAGTTCAGTTCAGACTGGTTTTGTAACGTCGCTGCGATGTCTGTGATTGTAGCCGGCTGTCATTTGTAGGTCAGTGGACCATGTGATTAACTTGCAGCAGGTGGAGAATAGATTTATGTAAAGTTCATCAGCTATTTCTGCTCTGTCCTCACGAAACACTGCCTCCAAAACACCAGCCAAGCTTTTGTAACAGACATAGAAAGATACATGGATGCTTTACTGATCCCTGTAGGAGAAATTCAGATGTCTAGAAGCAGCAGAGACACATCCATCCATACAAAGAAAACAAATAAATATAACTAATGGTTCAATATTCCTGCTTTGTTGGACCTGAGCTTGTGTGTTCTCCCTGGTCTTTGTCACAATATTTACATTTTGCTCATATTTCTTTGTGGTGTTAGTCTTTCGATGGTTTTGTTTGTTGTTTCTCTTCTTAGTTTCAGGGTCAAAAGTTGAAAAGCTGTTCTCTGTTGTGGTTGTAGGCAGCCGGACAAGCTGAGAGTGGTGTGGATCAGGAGGAACAGGCGACACAGCACAAAGGTAACGCTTCAAACTCACTATAATATATCAGCTTTAATTCAAATGATAAATTAAAGCTGGAGTACCTGACTTTGCATTTCATTGATAAGACATTTTACCAACAGAAAGAGTCTTGTCAAAGTAAAATGTTGTGAATAAATCAGACCACGACATATTAGGAAACTCGTTCATATGTCGTTGTGTCCCTGGGCAAGACACTTCACCCACATTGCCTAGAATGATAAGGGCTAGATGCTGGTTTGCTCTAGACCTGCCTGACTATTTCCATATGAAAAACCCCACAAAAAAAAAATGTTTTAAACCATGTCGTATTAATTTAATGAATATGAATTAGAATTTTATTAATGTCGGTGAACACACAATTAAAAACTCTGAATTTTCTTTGGCATTATAGTGTAACTCCAAATTGATATTGTACCATATAATTTCTGTATTCTCCCATTCACAGCTATTCCATTCTTTCACAGTCTTTGCCAATACAATGCTCAAATACTCAAATAGTGCACCTCATTCACTAACTGGTATTTTTCTCTTCCAGCTTCACGGTTGGCAGCCTGGCATCAAAAACCCGTACAGGGGTCTGGTGGTGTGGCAGGTCCCTGAGAGCCTGGATATCACGGTCACTCTGTTTAAAGTACGTTTACTTTACACATTCATCTCACTTTATTGTATTGAGTTAACTTAAATAGGGGCAGTAAGCAACTTTTTAAATGGCAAATGAAAGTCAATATTTTTGATATCGTAGAAAAATGGGAATGAATTGACTCGGAAAGTCAATGGTCCCAGGGTGTCAGAAAGTGTCGGGGTGACAGTATAGAGAACTGTTTTATCACAAAATGTACATACTCAAGCCCAAAATATATTTATTATAAAGAGTGAATTGATGGCACAAAAGTTTTTTAATGAATATGTAAAATTGTATATGTGTAAGATCTTTTTATTATAAGGAAAAAGTTAAGATTTTTGTGCCTTTTACAAGAATGAGCGAAGAGAATTAGTTACATTTCTGCACATTTTTGTATTGTTGCTGCAGCTGCACCTGCGTGTGTTTTTTGTGTGTGTTTGTGTGTGTGTTTTTGTGTGTCGTCAACATACGCTCTTATATTAAGCAGTTAGAAGGTTTGGGAAGTCGAATGGCTACGCAGATATTTCCGAGATCGCAAAAAAACGGCATATGACAAATGAGTAAACCAACCAATCAGAGGCTGCGATTTCCTCGTCATCTTGTAAAAAATACATGTATGTATTTTATCTGCTGTCGCCTTAACGCTCGCACTGTTCTGCTCATTACAGGAAGCCACAGCCGAGGAGTTCGAGGACAAAGACTGGACATTTGTCATTGAGAGCGTAAGTCTGTGATATCTCTGCTCTCTGCTACTACTTCGTATATTATCACTACTACTTTAATTTCAATTCTACTACTTTAAATGTAATTGTACATACAAATATGATTAGCCTTCACAAAAGATACTTAAAGGTCGCCATGAATATAAGTTTCTAATGCAGGAGCGCAATATATACAGAGAAAATATATGAATGAAGAAGCACTATTTGGATGTTGAGATAGATAGATAGATAGAAAAATAGATAGATAGATAGAAAATAGATAGATGGATAGATAGATACTTTATTGATCCCCAGTAGGAGAAATTCAGGCGCAGCAGAAGACTCTTTTTTTGTTGTACAGTCAGTCAGGTTTGTTGTACAGTCTGACAGCCGAGAGTTTAACTTGTACTGTTTTTGGTATTTGTTGAACGCAATTTGATGAACTGCTGTGTTTTTGTCTGAATCAAAATACTGAAAAAAATACATTATCGGCCACCACCCCTCGGTTGATTTGATTGTACCCCAGTACAATCAAATACACCATAACTATGTATACAAACACAAAATAAAGTAATTTACATAACATTGGGTAACAAAAAATATTTTTTGAAAATAGTCCAGGGTTTTCCAGCTGAATTAGACTAATTTTGATGCTCTGAGTCCGAAAATTACCTTGGTTTTGCTCAATCAAGTCAGGATTTTTTGCTACAGAAATATTTTTTTAGATCAATTTTGCGTAAAAAACAAATTTCTGCGGATCATCAGCTGAGAAACCCTTGACGTTTTTTCCGTTTTCCTCAAGAAATAAAAGTCAACGTTTCCAAAGTCATTCAGTTTTTATTTACTCCATCAAATTTGATAAGCAGAATTCATAATAACGTAGACATATGTAATCCGTAAAACTATGGCTGTATCTCAAAAAGTTGACCTGATAGAGCAAAATGTATGTGATATTCGGACTCAGAACACCAAAATGAGTCTAAATCAGTTGAGAAACCCCAGACCATTTTTTGGCTGTCAACTTGTGTAATAATAATAAATAAATATTTATTTGTATAGCACTTTTCAAAAACAATGTTTACTAATCTGAGTTGAACCGAAGCAAAGAGCAGGCCTGAATATTTATTTAGTTTCTCATTATACTTAAATATTTATTTAGTTTCTCATTATACTTTCCTTTTAGATTGGAAGCCAGCACGTGACTTAACTCGGCTCAGTGACAGGTTAGATCCGTGAAGAAGCATTTTACATTTTTTACATAAAAAAGAAGCACTAAAATATCCCTTTAATTGAGGAATGAAGCAGTTATGGAACTTCTCAGAACACGGGTCACCACCAGGAAAGTTGAGGATTGCAGAGAAAATAACAATTTCTTCTTGATGTGGTCACTGCAGCAGCTCCTTGTGGGTGAACCTCTCATCTCCCAAAGAATAATACATTTCATTAAACATTAGCCTGGCCTTAGCTATCCGTACACTGCGCTCAATCATCATTTCACTGCATGTAACTGTAATTTGTACTATGGTGTGGTACGAGCAGGCTAATTAAACATGGGATAATGGAGAAAATGTTCTTTTTTCATGGTGTATTATGAGCATTGAAGGACAGTGAACTTCCTGCTGCCTCTGCACAAATGGCTTCTTTGTGTTTCTTATTATCGCATTTCCTGTGTTCTAATTGTTTGATTCTCTGATAAAGTATTTTGTAAAGTCCTCCAAGACGACTGCTGTTGTGATTTAGAAGTAATCAAGAATACGTTTAACTGAATATTAACCCTTGAGGCGCCAGAGAAATGTCAGAAATGTCATGTGAAAAGTGTATTACGTTTTAGAAAGACAATACAAAATGCTTTACACAAATTTCACAGCAAAAGATAAAACTGCACATATTTTCTGGAAGTGAGCTCCGCTGTTGAGATACGTAATGACCAAGAGATGGACCCAGGATGGAGCATTGCGGAACTCCGTACAGTGTTTGCAATATGTCAGAACAAATCTTTCACTCAGATAAGATTTAAACCAGCCACTGAAATCCATATTAATAACAAATGCAAAAAATATGTAATGACCTTAGGGAAATATTTGTGTCTGCCTGGTTGCTGTAGAGCAGCCATTCCCAAACTCAGTAACACCGAGGCCCCCTTAAAAATCTGACGGGTCTGCGTGGCCCCCCAAAATAATAACCAAGAAGACAACATTAAGAATAGGCTCTTCTGGTTATTTTATTTTGGGGAAATAGCCTCTGCTACAAACATTGTAATACAAACATGATTACAGTGGATTATTGATGTCAAATAATGAACACAAATATTTTAATATTACAAACAAAACATTATAAATTTAACATTAAATAATTATATATTTTTTTTTATGACCTCCCGCGGCCCCCCTGCAGTACCCTCGCGGCCCACCAGGGGGCCGCGGACCCCACTTTGGGAGACACTGCTGTAGAGAAAGCATCTATTCTCCTACTTTGTCGCCTAAACTGTTTTTTAACATCCCACTTTGCAAATGTTTGCCTTCTCCAAATGTTACACACGCCTCCTTTTCCGTCCCAGGAGAGTAAAGGGCGCAGAAAGGTCCTGGCCTCCGCTGATTTGAACATGAAGCGATACGCCAGCGCCACTCCGTCCCAGTGCGACATCACCCTCACGCTCAAGCCGCTGTCGGTGAAGGTGGTGGAGGCGACGCTCAAACTCAACCTGTCCTGCGTCTTCCTCAAAGAGGGCAAAGCCACGTGAGTTCCCCCCCCTCCTCCCCTCTTTCTCACATTTACAGTACAGCAGGAATGGAATTGTTGTGACTGAGACTGGACTGTGCAGGGACGAGGACATGCAGAGTCTGGCCAGTCTCATGAGCATGAAGCAAAGCGACATCGGAAACTTGGAAGACTTCAACGACAGCGACGAGGACGGAGAGGAGCGACGGTTCAGCTACGGATCCACACACGGCGTCTCGCTTTCTGGTGAGAGTCTGCAGGACAGACACAGCTTTACTGCTGGAAGATGTATTGAAAATATCCCATTATCTTAATTAACTGTAAAAATCTGTGGGGGGAAAATAAGGGAAGGTTTAAAAAATACAAATAATACTATAATTGATTATTATATTTCCTCATGAACCCATTAAGCGAAATCTCTCCCGTTGGAACAAGCCTCACCTGTAATATTTGCTGGAGGAGAAAAGTTTGACCAATGGGAAGGGACCACAGTTGACAGGGATTTGATTCATTACGTCCAATCAAAAAGTTGCACTCAAAAAAGTCACAGTTTCACAGTTTGAAATGTACCTGACTTTCACTTGTTTTAAGAGCACAGTTGAGTAAGTAAGTATTTTCTTCTTCCGGGTGGATCATCAAGACTATTGGCCCTCGTCATTCGGGTGATATATTGCGTAAAGCTGACGTACGTGCTCGTCAAAAGACCAGAGTGTTTTTGAGAAATTCTTTCACACGATGGCGGGCGCTGAAATTGGCTTCCGAATGTGGAGCGTTTCTCTTGCAGGTAGAGTGTTGCACATGTAAATTTTTTAAGAGAAGAGGGCGGTTCTTTCGTAAAATTCTGGAAAATCCTCATATATACCTGTACAAAATACAAAATGCAGACACATGCGCGCACACACACACAAATCGCTTTTTCTTTCCTCCCTCATCTATTCTCTTCCTTTCTTCCCTCTCCTCTGTTTCCACCTGTTTCCGTCTGTGCTGCGGTGAACAGGTTCTGGTAAAGTTCATGATGCGGCTTGGAGGCCTGGAACAGGTAACCTTAACATCACAGTGATGAGTTTTGTAAACATTAATACTAACATTAAAAATATCCCAAATAACCTTTTGTTGTGCACCTTTGGATTGTAGGACACAGTGGTCATACATATCAAAGCCTGATCTCTTATCTCAGAAGCTAAGCAGTGGAGGCCCAGTTAGTTCTGTGATGGGAGGCCATTGAGATGATCAGGTGCCACAGTGAGAGGGTGCCAGTACTAATACTACTACTAATAATATGAAAACGTCTGTACAACCGGATAATCAGGGGATTTTTGGCTCAGACAAATTTTTGACCACTACTACTACTACTAATGTAAATGGGGAATGTTATGAATTGTAGTAAAATAGTACAAACCAAAAAGACATAGATCCCTTTTAATAAATGCCTAATTTCCCCCATAATCACAAACTTGTATTTATCCTAGGGCTGTTGAACAATTACATTTTTTTAGTTGATTAATCACATTGTAATGGTGAGTTAACTCACAATTAATCGCATTTGAAAAAATGAAATGAAATGAAATTTCAAATCCACTCCAATTGAAGTTAAATGAGATTATCAAATATGATGACACATTTTCATTCATACCAAATGTACTTAAGTCTGTTTGATTTGCTCACAACCTTTTACTTATGGGCACAACCAAAATTAGCTGTTAATGAAAGGGGAAAATGTACGTACCCCAGCTTTAATTTAGCGAGTTTAGTTAAGTTTAGTTTAGTTTCTGGAGGAGACACGGACACTTTCGCGGTGTATTTGCGTGCACAGGTTACGCACAGGTTGCAAAGACACACACACAACATGCAGAGAATAGTCCTGTGGCGTGTATGGTCTAACCGCGGCGCCATTCGCCAGGTTATTGCCGCTAACAATAACCAGAGCGGCCGCAGCTGCCCCCGGGATGCGGACTTCAGTTCATAGCAAACAACAGCCCCGCGGTCACATGCGTATTCTTTTAAAACTTGAAATCCCAGAGGGCCTACCTGCTCTGTTGCCATCTCACGCATCTGTCCGCGGCATTCTGAGTGATATTATGGATAAATGGGCAGGTCATTCGGACATGCAGTTAACGCGATCATTTTGACAGCCCTAATTAATCCCATTCTGCAGTTCTGTACCAAGCTTTCATCCAATCACGACATGCTCTGTGAACTTGTTTGACCACTTTTCATTCTTTTCCATTCCTTTCTTTCTCCCATGTGCCTGTCATCTGTGCGTGTGTGTGTATGTGTGTGTACATGTGTGTGCGCGTGTATGTACCTCCAGACAAGGACCAGAGCACTCTTCCTTCCTTTTTCTCCACCATCTCAGCACCACTCAGCCCCATTTACCCCTCTGCACCCCCCCTTGTCCCTGAAGCCAATAAACCATCTCTGTATGACTACTCACTGCCCGCATTCACCCCCGCCCACCCACCTGCCCTGCCCCGCATCTTCCAGCCGGGGGCCACCACAGGTATTGCTCAAGAGGAGAGAACAAGGCCTGCGTTCAGTTTGGTCATGATGCTCACCTTGCAAACCTATGAATTGACTCAATATATTAATACAAATGTCCAATATCACAGTGATGATTTAACATAGACTGTATACAGACGGACAATGCTAACCCGCTAGCACAATGAAGCCCAACAGGGTAGTTCTCGTGGAATAAGTTTTTCCCTTTCGTGCTCTATCTCCTATTGACTTACATTGAAAAATAACCTCCTCTAGCTCAGTAACCGTTCGTGTCAGAATCACCAACATTTAGCGTTCTCTACAATCCTGATGTTTCTATTTTGATACAGTATTGTTTTTGTGCCATAAGCATTGACCTTGTCTTAGCAACCATCTTAGCAACATGTTTGTTTGCATCTGCCCCATCTATGACACAAAGCCAACCTTGTCAGATCAATTGCCCATAAAAGGAAATTGGCTCCTGCTAGCTTATGTTCAAATTGGCTTCTTCCACATTTGGAAAACGCTATGGTGACGTTAGAACTCAGTCAGTCCACTCTTTGTGATTTAACAATGCTTTGGTTTGGACTATAAGCTCATCAGAGTTACAATGGATTTCAGCAAAGAGAAACTTCTACTTCGCTCCAAAAGTCAGCACAACATCAGGCTGTCATTTTTACCACAAAATGATATTTCAAAAATAGTTGTTCTTTTTCAGAAACTTGTTCAAACTACAATGTTCAAGTTTATGTAATTGATACATTCTCAAATAGTATATTATACAGTTTTGATGCTAGTTTTTTATACTTTTGGCAACTCTACTGCAGTACAGTGGCTTTTATTTACACAGTTGTTTTCATGGTTTTGCTTAGGGCTGTAACTAATCCAGTTAATGCAAGATGTTTAACTAAATGTGACCAAAAATGAAGTTTAAGAGAGGCCATTTTCATCTGGATTGTGCATATGCAGAACATTTTTTGTTTTTAGCCACAACGTAATTTCAAAAACAGATTTTTAAAACCGTTTCCACCACTAAAGTGAATTCACGTGTTTGCTGTGACATTTTAATGCAATTAAGTCATTAAACCCTGGCATGTGCAAATGATTAGTATATTATTTTATTATTAAATTAGATGATTTTCATTTCAAAATGATTTGATGTACTTTTTCAATGAACTTGTCAGTTATTGGAGGAGAGTTGAAATGAAGAGACCAGGTGCAGATACATTTATTTCCCTAAAAAGGAAAAAATATTTACTTATTTTGTATTTTTCAAGTATTGGGAGAAGTATGTTCTAAAACAGGGATCACTGCCTTGTAAAGCATGGGCTACTATTGCGTTACTATTCGTACATACAATCACTGTCTTTATGTTCTTTCTAAATCTTTCTCTGTTCACTGAGATCCTTCTCTCTCCTGTGTTTTCCCATCACCGCTGCTCCCTCTGCAGCTCCTCGGCGCGCTCCCCGAAGGCCCCACAGCTTCCACTGTGACTGGTCTCCAGCTGAGGGCTGGAAAGCCCTGGGTCTGTCCTCCACTCCTCCCAATACTCTCACGTCTTCTCTTTCTTCTGCCCCTTCTGACTCTTTTCTCCATCCTCAACCCACACGAGCAGGTAGCCTACTGTATGTCACCACATGTTTATTTATTTATTTGAATTCCTTACTCAACATTAACATTTCTGCTTGACCTTTATGTCACTATGAAAATACAGTATCTGCCTAAAAAAATAGTGATTCTGGGAAACTGCTGAGCCAACCCTCACAAGTTAAGAAAACAAGAATAGTAACTTGTCAGAGTAATACCCTTATGAAATCAGGAGAATATAATTTACTTTTCTTTACTGACAAATATAATCGGGTTATTAAAAAGACGTAATTAAAATGCCTCATCAACCACATCTTTCTTCTGTGTGACTTCAGCTGGTCCCACCTCCTGGAGAACTCAGAGCGTTCCTTCCATCTGCTCTCCCCCCTCTCCCTCCACCTCCTCCTTCGCTCCCCCTGTCCCTCTCCTACCTCCACCTCCAGCTGTTTCCAGGAGGCCCAAAACCCGGGTCTCCTCTGCGGACTCTGGGTGTGCGCTCCTCACCCGCCCCACCAGTCTACCCTCTGCCCCTGAGTCAGGTAGAGAAGACCTCAGTGAGAAGAGTTGGTTTTAAAATGCTCTTGTCTCCCTCATCCTCACCCCTGCTCTCCCCCCCAGCCCCCTGGCAGACTGAATGGATGCCCCCCAAAACCCAAGCCCCACTCTCTCAGCCCGCCCTGTCTCCTAAGTTTCTCCATTCGAACGCTGACGACCCGGGGCTGACCACTGCGGGACAGAAAAAGCAGAAAATAGACACGACACGTATGATATGTGTCCAACCCTTTCCGTCGTCTGTCTTTTAACTCTCCTTGTTCTGTGAAATACTAACATTAGCTAATATTCACTAGAGTAGTTAATTAGTTCTGACAATAGGTTGCGTTCATGTGATTTCACAATATTCCAACGAGGCTGTCGTTTTAAATTGTGCTGAAGGACAGTTGAATAATCTTTCCTGGAAACTATGGTAACTTTTTTTTTTATAGCTAATTTCTTTGTAATTCTTGGGCTGATCCACATGAAACAAAGACGGTCACTTCTTTGGCAGTACACATAAACTATGGTTATTTTATATTGTTTTCATAAAGGTGTTTAGAAAGAAGAAAGCAATAGAAAGCACTTTCATACATAAAAATAATCAAACTCAAATCAAATTTCAAATAATAATCTGTAAAATTATTTGAAGATTTTTTTATTCAACATTTTCTTGCCATATCATTGATTATTTCCTTGAGCACAGGTGTCTTAACACAATGCCAAATGCGGCCCCAGACCATTTTTAGAGGCCCCTGAAATTATTTTGTAATTATTATTAACTTGCAGCATTGATGGTCGAATTATTATGAGCTACCATGGTGTGTTATACCATGGCGTGTTATAAAAAGCCAATTCGCTCAAGAAAACAACCCTTATCATACATTGTATTTAAACCCAACTCGTAATTATAAATTGTACATTTAAAAAAATAAAGATAATTGAGAAATCCTTTAACTTTGTCCAGTTTTGGTTCACTTCAAACATACAGTAACTGAAAAGAAAAATCTATCCGAAAATAATCCAAACAAAAATTGAAGTAATCCTATCGTTTAATTATCTTCATACTGTAAAACACGCAAATAAAAATATCCACAGATGCGGCGGCACGGTGGCTGAGTGGATAGCACTCTCGCCTCTCAGCAAGAAGGTCCTGGGTTCAAATCCCGGCCGGACCAGGGCCTTTCTGAGTGGAGTTTGCATGTTCTCCCCGTGTCTGCGTAGGTTTCCTCCGGGTGCTCCGGTTTCCCCTACCACTAAAAATATGTCCAATAGTTCTAGCATGCGCCTCCTGTACTGGCCCCGCTCCCATCTCTGTGTGGAGTGAGAGACAAATGCCCAAAATTAACAATTGTAAACCGCTTTGAGACTCAGATCTGCAGTGAAAAGGCGGTATATAAATAAAAACTTACTTACTTACTTACTTACTAGATGCAGATGGTTAATGCAGCTTGGAACAATTTCATACGTTCAGCCCCTGGGAGATATTATTTTTTTAAACCCGGCCCCGGACAAAAATGAGTCTGACACCCCTGTCCTATTGAGTTACCCTCCAACCGAAATAGCACTCTACAACATTGACGCAGCCAGCCTTTGTGACTAGACCTTGCTTTGAAAGTTATGGATGGAACATTTTTACCTATGTTTTTATGTTTATTTTCCATTCTCTCCCATGTTCTTCTTTTTCCATCTTTCTGATCTGTCCTGTCTGTCCCGTTAGCTTCCTCCTCTGGATTTGTCCCCTCTTGGAGACCTCCTGTTCCCCCTCGAGTAGAAAGCACCCCCTCTGCTGTGTCTGGGGCGCCTCCTCTTGCTCTCTTACCCCACACTGTTGTCAAAGCTTCTGTCAAAGACCAGGACACAGGTATCAAAACAGACTTTCAACTCAAAAGACGATGGATGTAGCATCCAGGGAGAGAACTGAATACTACCAGAGCTCTTCTTGCATTCCATTTAGTTAGAATCAAATATTTTACACACACTCAATCAATGTGCGAACTATTCCAGCTGCGTTCTCACTTCCGGACTGGCCTTTCTGGAAAACGCATACATGGTTGAGTGCTTGTTGACATGACTTTGCTTTGCTGAAAGTAAATTCTGCTGTATTAACAACACAATGATTTTTTGCAGAGGTCCACCGACAGCTCAGCACCCTGAACGAAGAGGACACACTCTCTACATGTTAGTACAAACACACTCTCTCTGCACTTAAAACCAAGGCATTTATTATTATTATTTAAATCTTGTGCACACATTCAACAACAAACAACCAAACAAGATACAGAATAAACAAAAATACACAGTTTGAAAAGAGGTTGGACAAAGCAGATGTGTATTTGGCTCCAACTGCTCTCACTCATTCGACACAAAGAAAACACACACACACACACACAGCCTCAAACCCTTTCTGATCCTACACCACTCTACCACCACTCGCAATTGCTGAGGACATCTTTCTTTCTCTATCTACATACTTTTAAAATTGTGTTTTCTCTTGTGTCAGGTTTGAATATGTTTTAATTTCTCCTGTTGTGCAGGCCGATATTTTTGACTTTCTCTTAAGATTAAGAAATTAAGAGAGCCTTTATTCGTCCCACAATGTTGCACCACAAGTTATAGGACAGCAGGAATGAGGAGCACACAGCACAAGATAAATGAATAATAACTATACTAATTAACAGGGTGCTTGATAAGTATGGAATTTGAAATACTGTTTTCCAGACCTTGAAAAGTCTTGAATTTTGTGTGAAAGTCTTAATAAAGTATGGGAAAAAAATGTATGGTTAAAAAAATTAACATTTCTAATAAACACAGTTGGTACAATCTCAACCAATGAAGTAGGCAGTACTTCATTGGTTGAAGTACTGCCTACTTCATTGATACCCTAACCCTAACCCTTTTTAAAAAAATATCAGTTTTTAAAAAGTCTGGAAAAAGTCTGGAATTTTAATTTGGAAAAAGAGCAAGCACCCTGAATTATGATTAAAATAAAATCTCTAGCATCTTGGGTTAGTCTTCATCTGATAAATGTTGGACTATGTTCTTACATGGCATTATGCTTGTTTTTCAGCTGCTGAGCACAAAACCCCTGCTGTCCAAAAGTTTGGAGTGGAAGTAGTCAAAACATCACCCGGGTTAGTCTTCACTTTTTCTATGCCTTTTAAACACATGTGTGTGATTTGGCTGTGTGTTTTTGGGTTTCTGAAATTTCTTTGAATTGGTTGCTTTTAACACTTGAATGGCAGAAAACATTGGTTCTGAGTGAAATGTTACTAACATAATCCAATATGAAACTATTTAATTGTAAACATCTCTTGGACATACACTGAAGCTGATGAGAGCTTTTTGCAGTTGTTGTGATTATAGGTTTGAAAAGTAGAAGTTTTATGCCTAAATTCATATTGTTGGAGTGGTCTTGGTAGAATGGCTGCCTCTTGTTGTGTGCTTGGCAGTCATTTTAGATGTTAGTTTCTACGGTTGTGTTGTTGGCATTGATGCTTGCAGTAATAGCTTTTATCTTCTACTCAACTGTGTATTGCTGTATAGACAACACTCAGCCAAATGAATTTATATTGGATTTTGTTTATTCCTTAGACTTCAGAGCATGGCCTCACTCCTGTCTACTAGTCCTCAAACGTCTTTAGAAACAGGATCAAACCTTGCAGACATCAGCCAAATACCAAAGGATACACTAATGTACAGACGAACACTAGATATTTATGGTAACTGCGCAGAAATGGCTCCAAATATGCAGTTATTAACAGCACCTAAAGGAAATATATTGTTTCCAGAAAGAGGGCAGTGTGCTCCTCCCACACTACCGAAACCGCATTTAGAATTACACCCCAATGCATCCAAAAAACAAACAAAACAACGAAAAAGGACAACAAAAGCAACGCAATCAGATGCCCATGTCAGAGATTCTGGGTAAGTGCAATGTCCCTTAAGCATCCTAGAGCAGACTCATCCATGATAGTAATTGGTGGTATATTTTCTCCTCCTTTAGAACTGCCATTTTGCCTATACTTGAAGAATGCCTTCACTCAGAAAATGGGGGTACACATATAACCAGCAGTATGCAAAGTAGAAAATCACAAAGCAAGATTATAATTGCAAAGACCGAATTGGCTGATTCAAACAAGATCTTACCCAGCATGACTTCTACTCAAGAGACTCCCTTGAAACTGGATTATACGTCTCCATCAAAGTCAAGCACTGAAATCCTAAAAGAAGATTTGTTTATTTCTCAAGTGGAGATTGGGCCTCTAATTCCAAAAGAGAGATCAGTTTGTCACTTGCAGACGGTCACGCAGCAAGCAAAGATCTGTGAAGACACACCGACAAAGATAATTAGAAGTTGTCCTCAGGCGTCCATTGTACCTGGAATGCCTTCATTGCATCAGCTTTCGGTTATTTCTTGCTCTGAAGCTAATAACCAGTTATACATGTCGCCCCATAAAAGAGCACCTCTACTCTTGCAACACAACCTGGACCACCAGATAATTGGGAGCGAAAACTTTCCAAAAATGGTGACAATAGCACCATCTTGCGCAAGGTCGGCTAGTATACCAGGCTTTCCATCTGCCTTGAAGCCAAGTATTGTCAATATCTTGGGGACATGCCCAAAAACTTGCAGCATTCCAGGTTTTCCGTCTTTGAGTCCTTTAACAGACCTGAAAATACATACTTCGGGGACAAAATGTATTTTGCTGACAAAACCATTGATGAAAAAGCCAATATTGTTCAGTAAAGTCCATGGAAACATTGACCCTGAAATGATAGCAATCATGGTTTGCATTTTGCCTACATGTTCTAAAACGGCAAGTGTCCCTGGGTTCCCTTCAGTTGAGCAGCGTTATTCTACAAAAAGTCCAACTATGACCAGTCTACTCCCTACATGCCCGGGCCAAACAAATATCACTGGCATGCCATCCAAACGAAGCCCAAGAGAAACATACAACTGGCATTTCCAACAGGACTTGGTACCACAAAAGAAAATGTGGTATGATTTTGTCATAGATTCTGGAACACAAGAAAATTATGAATTTTTAAAAGAAATGGTCAATCTACTCCCTTCCTGTCCCTCTACAACGGCAATCCATGGTTTCCCTTCAGCTCCACGGCAGGACACTATTACCATTGATTATCTAGAAAGGGATTATCCTGGCATGTTAGAGGTGTTGCCAAGCTGCTCTTCAAAAAGCTCAATTATTGGATTTCCTTCGAAAATTCAGACCAGCTTTGGCAATGACAATGTTCTGTATACAGGCTGGCATATGTTGAAACATCTTAGTCACGAAATACACAAAGAAAACGCCCAAGCCTTTTGTCCTCCGCTTGCCTAACTGAAGACAACGCAATGCTGAGAGGAATCGTCAATATGTTTCCAAGTTGCCCCACAAAAAGTACAATATTTGGGTTGCCTTCCGCTCAACGCCACAAGCCTAGTATGGTGAATTTGATGCCATCATGTCCCAAAGAAAGTGTTATTCCAGGATTTCCTTCAAAGAGTTGTTGTGAATCAGTTGAGAGGAATTGGTTTCTATGTAAAAACACACTCTTTCAGACATCACCAAAGAAAACAGAGTCAGTGTTACAACAGCCGATAGTTAAATCAGATGAGAATCAGCAGAATCATAACCAGAGTATGATATATATGCGTCCCAGCTGTCCACAAACACCATGTTTACCGGGCTTCCCATCCCTGTCTGGTCAGGTCCTGGAGCATATACCCAGTATTGTCTGTCCTGCACACCTGTCCTACATATTCACAAGTTTTGTGGAATACCATCTATAATGTTGAAAGACTCTCACAACTGGATCATAAATAACATTTCAATTTATGAAAAGCCAACACAGACGCCTTGGACTATATCTGATCAAAACCCATATGCTGTTGGAAAGCTGTTTGGTTACAATTATGGTATCAATGTTACCACCTTGCCCCAAACAGTCAAATATTTATGGGTTTCCTTCAAAGGGATGTCAAACTTCAGTGCCACGCGTGACAACAAAACCATCAGATGTGTTTGCCTCTTTAGATACATTTCCAGAACATAGTGCAATTCCAGGTCTCCCCTCCAAATCACAGAAAGAGTATCATGGTTGGAATATGAGTAGAAATCCAATCTGGGAAAGATCTCTGATGATAGATTTAATCGTACATTCTTGGAGGTCACTTTTTTTTTTTAAATTGAATATTCCGACGCGGAAAAGAGGTTGGCAAGACCTCTCGGACAGTCCGTGCATGCACCTGTTTGACAAGAATAAGGTAAGCAGACACCTTTTTATATGTAAAGTCTGCATAATTGGATACTAGCTAAATTTTGGTCTGTTTTTGAGGTCTGTCGAACTCTCTAAATTGTGTTCAAATAAGTGAGGATCCATAAAGTGAAAAGTGTTGGCCATAAGTGAGGATCCATAAAGTGAAAAGTGTTGGCCATAAGTGAGGATCCATAAAGTGAAAAGGCCATAAGTGTATAGGATCCATAAAGTGAAAAGGCCATAAGTGTATAGGATCCATAAAGTGAAAAGGCCATAAAGTGTATAGGATCCATAAAGTGAAAAGGCCATAAGTGTATAGGATCCATAAAGTGAAAAGGCCATAAGTGTAGGATCCATAAAGTGTTGGCCATAAGTGAGGATCCATAAAGTGAAAAGTGTTGGCCATTAAAGTGAATAGGATCCATAAAGTGAAAAGTGTTGGCCATTAAAGTGAATAGGATCCATAAAGTGTAAAGGCCATAAAAAGTGTAGGATCCATAAAGTGTAAAGGCCATAAGTGAGGATCCATAAGTGAAACCATGGTGTAAAATTAAAAGTAATTATAAAAAGGGAAACGTGTTAAGGAGGCCTTTGTTACAAAAGCTTTGAAATTGACGAATTTCAGGCTGATAAATGACAAAAGTAAAGAAGCAACAATATTTCAGTGATCACGGTTTAAATTACATACAGAAAAAGGGAGTTTTTGTTTTTGGCGTGAACAGAGTTCACCGGAGAATGCAGAGTTTTATCTAAAGTTGAGCTATGAGAGCTTTCGTGAGTTATTTACATTTTTTGCCGAGTTTTATCTACAGTTGAGCTATGAGAGGGTTGTATCCAACAGTTGTTTTTGTTTTTTAGAAAGAGATTTTAAGTTTAAATTAGTTTGCTACCTCGATAAAATAGAAGCGTAAACGTTAAAGACAAGAGTGCCTTTTGTTACTAGTGTGGAAAGTGATCACTTCTAGATTTGGATGACAAAAGTATAAAGAACAACATCAGTTATATTCGCTTAACAAAGTAATCTTGAAAGTTATTCTTCTGTATCTTTTTGCCTGTGTGTGCACATCTCTATCTGCTGCCGTTGTCAGGGAAACGGCCCCCTCCTTCGCTGCTCTGGCTCTGAATCTGAAGCAAAGCTACTGCTTTTAGGATTTAGGCTTTTCATAGTTGTTATTCCGTTAAATTTGCTAAATTTGCAATTGAACATTGTGTTAGACACAGTTAAACGTTTTTAAACACCATTAGTAAATATAAGTTTTGAATATTATATGTTTTTTGAAACCCAAATATTAGTGCTAAAAGCTGTGCAATTCTTTTTAGACCTAACATATTTCTAGATTCCATTCTTTTAAATCTGCTGCTTATTTTGTGAGTCCATTATTGTATCTGATATTTCATAGCTGTTAGTGAGAATTTTTTTATGTTTTTATTTTAGTTACAAAAGCCGTTTTTTCAAACATTTAAATTAGAATCTGTTAAAAGTGATTAATGATTGTAGACTTCGTCTAAAAAGAAAGAGGGAATTAGGAATTAGGCTGTAAAAGTATTATTAAGTTAAACTGTGACCCAATTTACAGTCTAAAAGCTGCGAGTTTTGTGAGTTTTGTTTTGTCTATAGCTCTGGCCTTGCAGCTGCTGCTCACTGCAGGGCGAGCAGAGTTTGATAGTGTCTTCCAATTCAAAATGTTTTTAAAAGTTTATTGAGTGCATTTGAAGAATGCAGCAATTATTTTAAATTAGAATATATGCTATAAATGTTCAAGTGTAAAAGGGAAATTCCATAAAGTGATTAATCCAGTTTAGTTAATCTTTTTGCTTTGACTTCATGTTTTCAAGTTTTGTTTTAAGGTTTTTCAAAATTCATTTTTACAGAGATTTTTCATACAGTTTTAGTTGCGATTTGAGTAATAATAATAATTCATTCTATTTTATGGCGCATTTCAAGAAACCCTAGCAAGCCAAGATTAAAAACATCACACAGTACAGAAGTACAAAATAGAATACATTTTTTAAAGTTTAAAAGGTTTAAGAGATTTGAGTCTTGTTTTTTATTAAGAGTTTCTGGTTTTAAAAAGTTTCACATTAGTAAGATAATAAGTAATCTTTTATTTACATAGCGCTTGGGAAAACCCAGAGCGCTCCAAAATTGTTTAGACTTAGAGAGAAAAACAATCTCATTCGCATACTGACATCTGTTGTTTTTTAAATTGGCCGTCTCAAGGATTGTTTTTCAGACTCTGGCACACTGTGGGAGAGGTCACTGCTGGACACTGGACACCAAAGCCCACCCAGCCACAGGTCACAGATCAAAGAGCAAAGGGAAATGCCACCTCTACGCCCCTCCCCCCACTACAGAAGTAAGTGGGAGTGAGACCGGGGCCATGAAAGAGAGGTATCTGGAGGCAGTGATGGGTGGAGCGTCAGGTAGAGACCTGGAGGAGAGTTGAAAGTGTGTCCAGTTGGTTTGCATCACCACAGTGTGACCTTTGACACCTACGGGTGGTTCGAGGAGTCTGGAGAGACAACCCCAAAATTCACATACACATTCATACACTCACACATTCACATTTACATATAGATACATGAAAAAGCAGAACATGAGAAAAAAAGCATTTTAAAAGTTTACTCCAATGTAAACACATATTTTTAATTGTCTATCACTTGAATCTTTAGTTGAATCAGTATTTTTTGAGACCAGAAATGTTCATTTGAATTCTATATTGTCATGAACTTAATTGACGTCTGTCCTGACACTTTTGATTTGTTGATTTTGTACTGTGTGAAGTAATTACATTGATTAGAATTAGATCTGATAAAAACACAAATTAGAGAAGTAAACTGCGCTTGCTTTTGTCTGAGAGACATTAGCAACAGCAGGAATAGAAATTGTGTTAAAGTAGAATCAAAGTGACTAACCATAGAAAGTAACTATTGCATTACAAGCTGTGTACAGGAACTGTGACACTGCACCATTGACCAGAAGTGCATCGCAAATGACCTGATGTGCTTCAACTGAAAAGACTGTATCTGGAGATCTGATGTCCAACTGGAGAAACCAAAACCATGGCTTGAACCCTACTGATGTCCAAGATGACATCTCTCGAAATATGACCTGACCTGATGACGACTGAGACTCACCCTCAGGGGACCTGAGGACCTGAGGACCTGAGAGAGAGAAAACTGGGGAGTGATGTTTATATTTTTGAAATCATACATTGATGAGTGCTAAATGAGACAGATACTCATGATTCTTTCTTTTGTTTTTGTTTGTCCCTAGCTTCTGGACATCTGATGATCTATTGGACACAGACATTTGCAGAACAAGAACCAGCCAATGAAAACGTCTATTGCCGATGCTATTGCTACAACCAGAACCTGTGACCAAATGCAATATACATGTTAAGTATTCGGACATCTGACAGACAAAAACTTTGACTTTTTTAGTCTGGTAGACTGAGCAACTGTTAAAAACTTTGAAAATGATAAAGTATGTATTGTAGCGTTTTATTAGATGTCAAATAGTAGTAAAAATGTAAAATTTGACTTCCTTTGTTTTTCATAAACACATTTCCACATAAGAGTTAAAATAGTACCCTACAATGTTATCCTTTTGATAGATCAGCTATAATATTAGAATCAGAGTTATGTTACAGCCATTAAAAGTGACAGAAGTCACAAATTAGGAATATGCCTTTGCTCAAACTGCAGCCAAACTTTGGAGTCACAATAGTGTAAAAATAGAGATAGATAAATGCATCAACCATAGATTCTTTCAAAAATAGAGAATATTCTTAGCCAGTGCTAATATCAAATGGTAAAAGGACCATTTCACAAGCATTTACGTCAAAAGTAGATAAAGTTGGCCTGCTCACAGGTATCTCCAAACATGCAGTAAAACAGCTGCAGTACATTCAAAATGCTGCAGCCCGAGTCCTGACTAGAACCAGGAAGTACGACCACATTAGTCCGGTCCTCAGGTCTCTGCACTGGCTTCCCGTGGCCCAGAGGATAGACTTTAAAGCAGCTCTCCTGGTGTACAAGTCTCTCCATGGCCTTGCACCAAAGTACATCCATGATATGCTAGTCCCATATGAACCAGCCCGGACTCTGAGGAGCGCAGGGACGGGACTCTTGTTAGTGCCCAGAGTCAGGACTAGACAGGGGGAGGCTGCTTTTCAGATTTATGCAGCTAAAGTCTGGAACAGTCTTCCTGAGGATGTGAGACTGGCTGCCTCTCTGTCAATGTTCAAATCCATGTTAAAGACTTTTCTTTTTTCCTGTGCATACAACTAGAGAATTTTATCTTTTTAACACACCTTGTTATTTATTGTTGTAACTTTTTGTGTTTTTAACTATTTTATTGTTTTTAATTACTAGTTTGATTCTTATGTTTTTAAATTACTTATGTGATTTTAATGCTTTTTAATTACATATGTGTTTTTAATTGTATTTTAATGGTGATGATTTGTGCATTGTGTGGTGTGGACTGTGAGGCGCTTTGTGTTGCCCTGTGCAGGAAAAGCGCCCTATAAATAAAGATTGATTGATTGATAAAGTTAATTACAGTTTTATGTACAGTTTTATTAGATACTTGCCAAATTCACTTGTGTTCACACATGAGTGAATGTTGACAATACAAAAAGTTCATATGAGTGTAGCCTAGATTAATGCCTAGATCAATGAGATAGATTAGAACCAACAGAGATTCAAAAGCATTTTGATGTATTTGGGTGTAGCACAAAAACACAATAGTAGATATTTAGATATTGAGAAGTTTCCAGCGCAAACACCATTGTAGAATAACTGACCCCAACCCCAAACCTAATTAGCTACTATTAGGATAATACTAATTTGATTAATGATGTTCATTCATCCCAAACTGCCTGACAATAATATCTTTAGATAATAAAAAGTAATAAATCACTGACCACTATAGAAGTGTAAATGTTGACCATTTGCCTTACTGTGTTCACAGTTTTATTCCTGAGAATGAGAATAGACATAGAGCAAAGCCACTGATAATAAGCCACTGATAATGAGAGTATAAACCACAGAGAGATTTGTTAGATTAAAATGTATGTTTAAAAATATGGCTCAATATAAGCAAATATGCAAACATATTTGTAAATAGATTAGAATAGTTTTAAACTATAGTGAATAGTAAAAGTAAAGTACACAGTCTAAGATTAAAAAGTGAAAATAATACAGTGAAATAAGTGAAGTGAAGTGTAAACAATTAGCATTAGAATAAAAGTATAGAGTAATAAAAGTGAAATTAGCTTCAAATTTGAGACTCAGCTCGTTTTTGTCTGTGTTTTGACTGAATCTGCTGAGTTCTTGTGTGTCCAATAGTTTTTGTTTGTTTTTATTTTTGATTTGTTTTTTGTTTGTTTATTTACTTTATTTGTGTTTTTTATTTTTTCCCAGGATAGAGGATAAAATCCACTGATATTGATTTGATGATTATGAGTTTAATGCATACATTTTCTTTGTTTTTAATAATGTGTTTAAGTTTTTTTTTTGGATTTTTTTTTTTTTCTTTTTCCACTTTATTGATTGATCAAATTGAATGATCACATGTGATTATGTGATCAAAGGGGAGGGTATTAGTATTAGATAGCAATATGGCCTACGTGCAGGACTGTACAAGGACTCCATGTTATGACTATGATTTGACTGTCTCTTTGTGACACGTATGTCTTTCGATGTGTGACGTGACAATGACTATATAAACTGTGTACTGCCTTTATTCTGTCTGAGAGAAAGAAACAGAGTAAACCAGTGGAACTTGAGAGAAACTTAAATAAACTTCCAGAGTTTGGCACACCACGATCCGTCTCTGTCTGCTTGAATCCTGACACAGGATACACACACATACACAAGAGGGCAGCAGTGAGAGTGACAAGTATAGGCTTCTTCCCTAAAGTCCTTCAAACTCATTTAGTCAAGGCTAAAATAAAAAATTGAAAAATAATACTTGTAATAATAATTGTACTTGACATTATGGACATAATTTACCAATATTTAGCATGAGATTAAATGTTTTATATGTCAATTAAGAGAGTACACTTATGGCTGGCATAAATGAATCAAAATGGGGCCAAAGTTTTCATTTCGCTGACTAATTGTGTATTGAATGTTTAGTTTACTATTTTGAGAGAATAAGAGAGTCCAGACCCGGTATAAAAGAGTAGAGCTTCTTGCTTACAAGTAGACACGGTTTGGTTGTCCTGTCTATACTGAATATATTGTGTATGGTTTCCAGTGGTAGTTCCCTCAGGACGTGTAGAAGAACAAGAAAAATCAAAGAACAATTGTCAGATAATGTCGTTGATTCTTACCAAGAAGTCGAACGACGTTGTCATGGTCGAAGTTCTTCATGATCTCAGCCTCTCTCAGAAACTCGTTCAGCTCTTCCTGACGATGAAATCCGACTGAATGAGATAAAAATGAGTAAGCAGAGAGCAGACCTGGTCCTCTTGTGTGTTAGTATTGAGAGTAACTTTACCTCTCATCGTTTTCACAGCCACTTTCATGCTCTCACCGTCTGCTCGAGTAAAGACCGCCTCGTACACTGCCCCAAACTCTCCTACAAAACATAATTCATTTCTTTATCATTATACGTCACACAAAAATAAGTGATTTCATAAAGTGATTTAATGATAACAATACATCTGTTACTATTGTAGCCACAGCTGCCTTGGGGCACACTGACAGAGGACCAGTGCCCCTCCGACCAGAACCAATCATTCACACACCAGACTCATACTAGAGAATGTGGGTGAAGTGTCTTGCCTGAGGACACAATGACAGCTTGGCATTTTACAGCCAAAACTTTAGCCAACACCACTTTACTTAACATGGTGTTTCCAGAGGTCTCCCATCACAGTACTAACCAGCTCCTGCCCTGCTTAGCTTCAGAGGTCTAACAGGTGCTAGTGCTTCAGTGAATATGAACATCAGATCCCAAGTCACATGTTTTCAAATATCTTACACATTTTACGATAAGAAAAAATACTAAATTGTGTGTATCAAGAATTTTAGTGATAAATAATGCCTGCCTGAAGAAAGTCAGTGTTAAAAGTTTGTATTAAAAGTCTGTATTAAAAGTCAGTATCACTCTAGTTTTGTTGATCCACAAACAAACCGTTGCCGAGTTGGTTTCCCAGAGTGAGTTGTCGTCTCTCCACCAGGACGTCCTTCAGTGAAGCTGCGAGTCCAACTCCCAGTCTCTCAAACAACTGCATCACACTCTCTGCTTCTGCACAGGGCCAGACATCAGACACAACACAATCTCCTCAAACCATAGAGTAGAAGGGGACTCACGGTGGGCGGGGTCAGGGGTCACCTCTGTGTCTTGTGTACGTCTGTATGAGACCCCAGGATTGATGGGACTCAGCCCCAAATACTGCTCCGGTCTGGGAATATTTCTAAATATTATACCAAAATGACAATATATTAGACAATAGATGCCTTATTATATGTATTGGTGTGGACTTTAACCTGGTTTTATTTTGATATTGGTTCTTTGAGCTTTGATTGGCTGACCCACTCTAGTGTGTCACCTGTGTGTCTGTGTAATAACTGTGTAAACATACCCTGTGCTTTTTCCACTTGTTGTGTGTCCATTGTCTACCACGTTTGTGTAGCTGGCTTGTCTTTAGTTTTGGAATTTTGTGTTTTATTGTACCATGGATTTGGATTCAATTAATATTAATAAATCAATAAATCACACTTAAATTTCAGTCCAGTATTTTGGATTATGTATGTTGATAGAATGATACAATTACACCCCAATTTTTAGATCTCTTTGCCTTTGCCTTTGCCGTTGTCTTTGTCCTGCAGTTGTGATGTTTTACCTGAGTGTGTTGAGCTTGCGTTGGCGGATACACACTGAGACTGATATGACCACTAACAGAAGCAGGACTCCAAACAGGACCCCCACAGAGACCGACACGTACTGGCCCCTCTGCTGCAGGGACTGTGACGTCACACGGGCCTCTTCTCTGGTCGTGTGTGTAGCGCTCACTGTCACCACAGGGGGCGCTCTCCCTGAAAACACAGTCAGATTACAGCCTGATGCACTCGTTTCAACACGTTCAAAGTGAATAACAAACCATGTCTTGTGACTATTAGTACTGACTGAGTAACATCAATAACTGTAATTTGGGAAAGCACATGTTGAAACCGTCCCCAGGGGTTTTTGTAAATGTGTGTTTGTATATAGGTTAGTCAGCTTGCAACATGTCTCAAAAAGTTGTCCTTAAGTGACCGGAATTGCTCAAAAATAAATTAATACAAAAAACACAAAGGAAATCTCTTTAGCGAATGGTTAGGAAAATAAGTATGAGTATACACATGGCCACTCAATTTTTCAATTCATTTCCAATGATATTGAGATTTTAATATTCTCAAATGATTACATGGTTGTCAGTACAGAACTATGTGTATACTGCATGTGTCTTACATCGGTAAATTTGTCTTTGTCTGATTGATAGCTTTCAAAATATCTCAAAAAGTCATCCTTAAGTGATGTGGGATGAGGGTTGAACCTGAATGACTCACAAATAAATAAATAAGAAAAATACAAAGGAAAACTCTTTAGCCAATGGTTAGGAAGATAAGTTGGGATACACATGGCCACTCTACGTTTCCCAGGGGATTAAGTTAAATATTCACCACTAATGACATGTTTTGGTTTTCTATGTGTACAGTCTTACATCTGTGAATAATGACAGAGGCAGTGGAGGAGGATGGGGCCCCCTGCACTTTGCTTATGTCGTTCTGGGCCTGCACCGACAGCCTGTAGTCCTGGTACGGGTCCAGTCCAGTGAGATTGACAGATGTCGGGTCAGCGCCCATTAGGTAAAGCACTCCTTCACAGCTCTGGGTGCCATATTGTCCCCGTGTCTCACACTGGACATGGTAGGACATCTCCGGCCGGCCCCCGTGGTCCAGAGGAGGATCCCAGGTGAGAATCAGCACTGAGTCGTCAAAGTGATGGACAGTCAGGTTTACAGGAGCTGAGGGCGGCTCTGAGGACGAGAGGACAAATAAAGAGTCTTTATATGACTGAATGTGCACCAAATTCTGTCACTATGATTTAAAACGTGTCTTACGAGCACAGCCGAGGTCGTGCGGGTCAGAGGGGAGGCGGCTGAAGCCCTCCTCACACTCACACCAGTCTGATCCCAGTCTGAGAGTCTGACTGTGGGGAGGGCACTTCTGACATCCACCACTCTCATTGGCCCAGCGGTAGAATCCTATTCCACAGGCTAAAAAGACACTTCGACAATTAGTTTTGTGGCAACTTCACAAAAAGTATTGAGTATAGCTGTTGTTTGAAGTTTATGCTGTAATATCAGTCACTTAATCAAAACTTTTTACATGATATAAACTCCTGGATTCTGGTGTCCTAGGAGAATAAAAGAATATTTACCCTGGCAGGAGTCAGCGGCAGGCTGGTGCCCTGCTGCACACACACACTGTCCCTGCTGTGGCCCCCACACTCCTCCCTCACTGCAGGTTCTTTCTAGAGGACCCTCCACCTCCACGGCCCCTTGCACACAGGAGCCCCTCACTGTGGAGCCCCCAGCCGCTGCAGAGAAGGAGCTAAGGTCCAGCACCATGTGTGAACACCTCCTGTAGAAGACTCTCAGAGCAGACACCAGCACACAGGTCCCAGAGAAGGACAGTCCCAGCTGGAAGCCTGCCGTTCGGACCACCCCCAGAGGCAGACCCATGTGGGGGCTGAAGTACGAGGGCAGTTCACTCGTGGGAGTGGTGGGAGGAAACTGTTGCGACACATTGAGCTCCAACACTTTCCAGCGCTCTGAGGTGTGTGTGCTGGGGAACATGTGGTCCAGGAGGTGCACCTGCAGCGGGACCGGCTGAGGCTCCTGCTCCTGAGCAAATGTGATGTCCACATACAGATGTTTGGCCTCTCCTCGCTCTGTCCACTCACTGAGGACAGTCCTCCTGGCCGAGCTGGCACAGGCCTGCAGCACTGGCACCAGGCCCATGGCACCAAGTCTCATTCTGAGGATAACATACTGAAAGTGTAGAGCAAACATGTTGATAACATGCATTCTGTCCTAATGCTACTGTCAGGAGGTGCAGTGGGTAAAGGACGTACCTCCTTTTCAGGATGAGACTTCCATGTTGACTGTTGAGTTAAACGTAATATGTCCACTAAAATAAAACACAATATGCACTGGTTAAGAACATTTGTCTCAAAAGGCCCAGATGTGAAAAAGCTTGGTTTTCACGACTACAAATGACAACAATCTGGATATTCCTCTGAGCAGTGAGGTTCCCTCTTTTCATCTGCGGTAGTTTCACTACAGTTTAGTCTCGGTCGACACAGTAGACATTTGGAAATAGGATAAAAACAGTCCATAGTGTAAAGGCAGATCAGTGTTAATGATTCTTCTGTACAATGTCTATCGTCAACACTGACCTTTGGGCCATGACATACAGTCCTACAGTCTACACACTACAGGCTCTAATCTTCTTCCTGAAGGACTTTGGCTCAGGTTCTGGACAGTGCAGCCTGTACTCACCGTCCTGAGGAGGAGGAGGAGTCGAGCTAAGGCCCAGAGTCCAGAGCAGCAGAAGAACCAGCAGAACCCTCATGTTGCCGCTCTCTCCACAGTGCGTCTGCAGCAGCTGCTCCTCCATGAGTCAGGACACTTTAATTACAGCATAGAGCCTTCCTCTTTCTGATTCCTGATAACTTCCTGTGTTTTTCTCACACTAATCGGCAAATGTTTTATTCCTCTGTGTTTTTATTTATATGATGGAAAAATAATAGTGAGAATGTGATTCCTTATATTCAGATTCACTAAAACTGTTTGTTTTATGAATGAATCATTATGATGACATTTATTACTTTATCATTTTGTGTATTTATTTTTGAAGATGTGTTGTATACAGTGGGACAAAAAAGTATTTAGTCAGCCACCGATTGTGCAAGTTCTCCCACTTAAAATAATGACAGAGGTCTGTAATTTTCATCATAGGTACACTTCAACTGGGAGAGCCAGAGATCTTCCTTGTTTGAAGTGACCAAATACTTATTTCCCACCATAATTTACAAATAAATCATTTAAAAATGCTACAATGTGAAATCCTGGATTTCATTTTCACATTCTGTCTCTCACAGTCTAAGTGTACCTATGATGAAAATTACAGACCTCTGTCATTATTTCAAGTGGGAGAACTTGCACAATCGGTGGCTGACTAAATACTTTTTTGCCCCACTGTATATGTGTGTGTCATGAGAAATCTGTGAGTCTCCCTTTAAAATGTGTATTTTTAACTGAGTTTTTAATTTCAGATTTGTGTATATATAATTTTAAATGATCGTGATGGAAAACATAACAGTGAAATCACTGAAACGTTTGCTTTATTTTAAAGCTTCCTTTTTCTCCGGGACTTTTTTTCTGAAAATTGATGACTCAGACAAATTTCACCTCATGACATTTATGTTTCCAGTGCCTAATTATATCATCTGTAAAGTGTTATTCCTGCATTATCTGAGGACTTCCTTTTATGAATGCACTGCTTTATAGACTAGAGAGCAGCAGAGCTCACTTTCTAAGTCTAAATAGATGAAAACACACTGGAACAGGTCAGTTGTACATATTTTTATCAATAAAAAAGTGCATATACCACAAATGAGCGACAGAAAGTCCTTGTTTTTCAGACAGTGAACGTTGTTACAGCACAACACTGGAGACAGCAGCACAACACCTCTCAAACACACACTGACAACACATGTGCAAACCATATCTCACCACACAATCTAACGCACAGCAAAGTCATGAAATGTAACCAAGCAGCATCCAACACAAACAAGTTTTCATTTAACAACATTTCACGCTGGTTGTTTTCTGTGTGTCACAGAACAGTTACAGTTCACAGAAATCCATCTGTAAATGACCTCCATAAATACATGTTTTATTGTTGCTGTGATATTTGTTTAATGGCTACAAAGACATAGACAGTTGTCATTCACTGCAAAGTGCTAAAATTATGGCTTTCTGATTCAATATTTACAGAAAGTATTAAGTTAAATAAAAGCAACATCTTCTTATTTTGCGGTAACAACAGAAGTATGAAATGTAACAGTCACTCGGACACCGGGTCAATAGTTTGGAGCAGCTGTTTTCACATTTATATTTATGTTTAAGGCCACGTAGTAAAGCAGAAAGTTTATTAAAAGGCACCTGTTGGTGCTGGTGAGCAGTGGTTTTGGATTTCACATGTCTTCTACTTTGGCAACTCGCTGTATCAATAAACACTAAAACATAAAACCTCATCAGTAACAAATTCAACCTCAAACTATCTTCCTCCAAAAACTGCACTAAAGTTTAACAAAACGTTAGTAAACCATCCAGGGTTCCTAAATATACCATTGTAAAATAACAGTGGACATTCATGACAAACACAGTTTATCCTCCTCTTGATCTGCTGGACTCAGTCCACAGCAGACGGAGTGTGGGTCCACAGTCTCCTTGCTTCAGTTTTACCTGCAGGTAGCACAGGTACATATCTCTGCTCACTGCATCACACACTTGTCCTTCTGCTGTTTGGAGTACTTTCTACGTCTCTGCTCCAGGCCTCGCTCCAGACGCTCGTCCTCTTCCAGGGCGCTGAGGGAAGCACACATGACATCATTGGTTTATACACTTCTGTGAGACAAACTGAAGTAAAGTTCCAGAGAGTGGTTGGTCCTCACCCTCGCTCCTTGGCGTCCATGTTCTGCACCAGCTTGTCCCTCTGATTCACAAGAGACACCAGCTCTTGCAGAAGCAGCTGCTCCCGGTGCTTGTGGTCTGGAGTTTTCTGCCACTCTGAACAACACATATGGGTCAGCACTGCCCTCTACAGGCTGCAGAGAGAATTACAGCCATTTACCTTCTGTTGCCATGATGTCTTGCAGTTCCTTCTTCAACAGCTCAAATCTGGTCTCTAAGTCTTGTTCTTCCAGCCTGAGAAACACACACAGGGATTAACAAACTAGAGCATAGAACTCTGATTAGGATGTGACAGAAATATACAAATATAATTACAGCAGCTGCAGGTGGTCCTGTCTCCGTATCAGAGCATTCTTTTTGTTCACCAGAGTGAACCACTCCTGGATCAACCGCTCCTCCTCCACTTTGTCACTGCCTGCAGGACACACATGCAGCATGACTGTTGTGTGCGTAATGAGTGTTTGCTGAAGGCGGAGGTGATGGAGATGGAGCACTCACCTGTTTCCATGAGCTGTCGGAGGTTCCTCTCGACCACACCTGCTCTGTTGTCCACGTGGTTCTGCTCGGCCTCCAGCGCCTCCATCTGATTCAGCACATACTGATTTGTGTCCTGGAAGAGTTCAAGCTATTTTAAATCTCCCAATAGTACACAACATACATGTTTATCAATAATAGCTTAATGTTGTTAACAGCTATTCTCTTGATATTAAAATAAGTTCATTGGATGCCTAAAGGTCAAAGAATATGGGATTATTCTATACATTTGACCAAAACAAAGCTCAAGTAATGCCCCTGGACACATTGGGTTATCTTATTAAAATACTCTCTCTTCTCAGCAAGTCTATAGAAGGATTTAAAAAAAATATGAATTGATTACTAACTGAGTAGATCAATATAATTAATAGCAATAGATTCACCTGTTACAGCCCTACAATATGATTCTAATGATACCTTAATACTATGACCCCACCTGGCCCTCGAGTCTTGTTTCCTCTTGGAGGCTGTCTGTCCGTTCTGCAGAGGAACAACAGTTACATTCTGACCGTGATCGTATAGATACCATGCCATGATGTCAGCTGAATGTGAACATGAAGAATGTGTAACTTCACAAACCGGTTTCTGAGGTGCTTCGGGTGAGTGAACTGTCGTCGTGTCCTGTAGCAGCCTGTAAGAGCAGCGAGACAAAACTTGATTTGTCAAAAAAAGACTATATTTAAGATATGACAACCTACTAACTAACATATAACCTTTTATTTTAATAAGGCAAAATGGAGATTGATTAAGATTAAGTGTTTGTGTCATATTGCCCGGTTTTAATGTCAATACACTTTATCTTTATGCAGCGTTAAACACGGCAGGGGATATGTTTTCTAAGGCCCTGTTCAGTCGGAGACGCTGCGACAGTAAAACGTTAAAGGAGGGTATTGGTTTGGCCTCTTGTTTACATGGACGTACATTTGGACATGCGCAGTAGCCGAGAAAAAACGTAAACAACAATGGAGGGATCAACTAGCCGTAGCTACGTGTGCTTTGAGCGATACACAGAGGAGAATTCTACTCCTTCGTCTATCCAAACGAAACCACACAAAGATTTAGTTTCACTTTCCATTTTTGCTGATGCTGTTTAACGCAGAATGATATTGGTGCATTCTTTCTCGTCTTTGCAGCGGCCTGAGAAGGATGTTGTTGAAGAAGTGATTATACCGGTGGGTGTTGTGCGTGTCGTGATGTAAAGTTCTACTGCTCACTACTGGCCGGGCGCTAGAATTACATTGTTTTCCATAGTCGGCGAAGAGAGTGAATAGAATAAGAAAATTAAGGCCATACCGCTGCAGATTCCCCCTCATCCACTGAGCTGCTCCTTCGCTGTGAGCGCCTCTTCTTGACCAGGTCTGCGTCTTTGATGTGAGAGAAAGTGGACTTGGACAGAAAGTGAGTCCGTGGAGGAGCCACTGGTGACTGCGTCCCGCCAGCGCTCTGCTGCTTCTTCTGCCTCTGAGGTGTAACGACGTCGCTCTTCACCTCCTTCTCCATCGCAGCTCCATTGTTCTCTAAACTTATGCCCCCCTCTTGTAGCCGCTCGGTGCAGTATCGAACAGCTGCCTCTGGGTCCTCTGGAGTGGTCCTGGAGCCCACCGCGTAGCTGGAGTCACTGCTGTCCTTCTCTATGTGCAGAACGCTGAGCTCCTGTCCCATGAAGTGAGTGCGAATCTGGCTCAAGTACGTCATTACGATAAGTCGGTCCGGAACAGAGAGCATCACCATATCAGAGGGCTCCATCAGGCGAGAGATGCCCAGCTCCGCGAAGCCGTCAAAAGCCTGAAAAATATGAAATAAGAGGATATAGGCCAGAAAGACAACGAGACCCTCATCACAAAAATCACCAATATTACTACAGGGGGAAAAAAAACGATTCTGTTCAGTATCACGATATTTTGCGCACACAATTAAATTGATACAGTAGAACAAAGTATTGCAATATTTCATTGAATAATAACCTGTTTCACTGCTGTGTTTTCTCTGAGTTTACTCTGGTAATTTACATCTGAGTTTTATGTTACTCTAATATGTCGGCTTTTTGTTACTCTAGTCTTGTATTTCAGTTTTGTGCTGGGAGCTCATTCATGTCAGAGAATAATGATGTCTTGTCCTGTAATAAAGTCCTGTGTCCTGAATGTTCAAGGACAATGTTTTTGCACTGCCCTCCTAAGATTTTGCACTTCAATTAATGTGAGTCTTATTTTCTTCCATATTTTTAATGGCTTTGAATAATATGAGGGACATGAAACGCAATATATTTCAGAATTGAATTGCAATACTTGCTGTATCGTAATAACGTGAAGAATCGCAATTATATTGAATTATGGCCCAAATATTGTTGTAGTAAGTAGTAGTAAGTAATCTTTATTTATATAGCGCCTTTCACAGACCAGAGTCACAAAGCGGTTTGCAATTGTGGGCATTTGTCCTCTCACTCCACACAGAGATGGGAGCGGGATCGCGCATGCCAGAACTATTGTACATGTTTTTAATGCGAAACCGGAGCACCCGGAGGAAACCTATGCAGACACGAGGAGAACATGCAATCTCCACTCAGAAAGGCCCTGTTCCGACCGGGATTTGAATCCAGGACCTTCTTGCTGAGAAGCAAGAGTGCTAACCACTCAGCCACCGTGCCGTCCTAATTGCAATACTATCGAATCGTCACATTTTTACCAATTTCCTAAACATTATATTACCTTTTTATTGTTTAGCTGGATGTCATACGGGTCCAGTTTTTCATAAGTGCTGCCAAAACAAATACCAGAATATGTTTTACCGTCACATGAAACAGAATACAGCCGTGTGGCACATTCACTTACATCGAGTTGGGATGAAAGTGGTGGAGAATAGCACAAAAAGCCAAGCCGTTTCTCCACGACGTGCTGAAGTTGGTGATCTTCACTCCGTGGTAGTTTAGGGTAACTTCCTGACACCATTCCAAAAGAGACTGTGTGGATGTCACTAAACCCGGGCTGGTCATGAGTTCCTGAGAGATGACATTTATTGCATTACATTCATAGTCTTACATAATCTGAGTACATTACTTGGAAGGAGACATATTGAGCTTTTGCTATATTCTTGTAGTTCTTGTCTACTACACCTGAGGATGTTCATTATGTATTTTTTACATTTTTAACATGTCAAAAAAAAAAAATATATATATATATATCTATAAAATAGATATATATATCTATATATCAAGAAGACTGGGTGATGCTGCCAAATAATTCACAATCACAGTAGCGGTGTGCGAAACAAACATATGTATTAGATACATTTTAAATTTAGATAGAATATACATTTTCTAATATTGTATTTATCTTGTGAATAAAAAAAAAAGAAAATAAAACAAATTTAGATTACGTTTTGATATATTGACCTAGATAAAAATTATTAATCGTCCATCCATCCATTTTCTGCCCCTTAGTCCATTTCTGGGTCGGGGGGATGGCAGTCGGAGCTGCACCCAGTACACAGAGCACCAGCCCCTCACTGATCCTCCTGAAGGTGGGGAGTCCACAGGAGCTGAGATTTTTCAGTGGGAGCTCCAGGCAAAGTGGGTTTAAGTGTCTTGCCCAAGGACACAATGACAGCAGACATTAGTGGGAGTCGTGAAGTAGGTTTCATGGTGGGCTCGAACCCACAAACTTCAGGCTCAAAGGCCAATGCCCTACCTACTGAGCCACTTTGAGCCACATTATTAATCAATAAATGAAACATAAATACATTAATTTACTGAATAGTATCGTATGGTATCCAGCCCTAACTCACAGACTTTAAACCACTGTTTGCCGATATTGTAGGAACAGTTGGAGCTATAGTGCTTCGAAAAGATTTTACTCCCAAGCATGAAATTAATCCTAGTCGGTAAATAAGAAGGTAAACCAATTTTAACAATATTACAACTTTTGCACAATATGTCCCCTTTAAAAGCTGCAGTTTTCTTACAGCAGAGACCGTTTCATCGGCCATCTTTTTCTGAGGAGTGATCGCTTCGTTTGCTTGGACAACACTGGATTTGGCGTCATCCAGATGCGACCCACTGACGCGCTTCTTCCCCCGAGGCACAGCTCTGCGCGGCGCTTTTGACCTGGAAAAAATAAAACCAAGACTGTTCTGAAATGCGTTCATTGTTGCGTTTTCACAGCTTCCACCATGCCACCCAGTATGAAACGGGGTTAAACAGTTAAACAGTGAGATGACAAGTGTTTAGACGGACGACCACACCCTGTTAGACAATGACCTCACCTGTCCTCCTCTACACAACCAGACGTCACATCTACAGCCTCAAAGCCACCTTCCAAGTCTTCCGTTTTGGCTTCTACTTCCATAGCGTCGCTGCTTTTGCTGTCGCCCACGTGGAGCCAATCGTCTTGAGCTGATGAGATAGTAGAAGTAGACCTAGAGAGGTCTGGAATATCATCTGTGTCTTCTAGCAGCGCTACTTGAGAACCTGTCTTCGTGCCTTGCTTATCTGTAAATGTCCAACTTCTGATCATTTCCTCCTCTCCGTCATCGAGGCTACCTGTCTGGATGAACTCAATATCAGACCCAGCATCATCCTCTCTTGAGACGTCAAAACTTGCATCAGAAATCACACTGGATGCGAGAGAAACTGGATTGTCACAAGTTTCTTTGCTGATTTGAGAAGTGCCATCCGTGTTAGCATCATCCTCTCTTGGTACGTCAAAAGTCACATCAGAAATCACACTGGACGCGGGAGAAACTGGATCTTCACAGGGTTCTTTGCTGATTTGAGTTGGGTCATCCATCTTAGCGGTTTCGGTGTTTGTGGACTTTGCGTCTTCCGTTTCTGTGTCGCTTGCGAAAGAAGCACTGAGACGTTTATTCTTCTCCCGTGGCATTGGGACGGGCAATGGCAGCTTCTCAACCTGATGAGGGGTTGCATTAAAAGACTTGTCAATTTTGGTGGAAGAAGTTACGTCTGAGTTCACTGGCAGGTCTCCTTGCTCAAGATTCTCAGAGTTAGTACTATCCGTCATTGCTTTGGCGGTTTGAGCTGAGAATGAGGCACTGAAGTGTTTCTTTTTTCTTGGTTTGGGTATGGGAAGTGTGTTGGAGCAATCTTGCTTGTTCCGTAACTGTACAGTGGGAGCGACCGAAGTGCTAGTTGTGGAAAGAGATGTTTGGCTGTTATCCACTTTGGGATTTTCCATAGAATTTTGGACTGATTCTCCACGTCCATTCGTGTCTGTAACTTTAAAGTCATCTGGGAAAGATCCACTACAACGTTTCTTTATTCTCGGTCGAGGAACAGGTAAAGTCATTGGTTTAACATCGAGCTTTGTTTCCAAGGAGTTGATTTCAGAAATATTCTCGTTAGCAACCTTTTCTTCTTTCTCTGCAACAGTTGGATGTGTAATTTTATCTTTCTTACCAGGTTTTCTTAGTGGCAATTTCTTTCCTTTGAGAGAAATTCCAATCTTTTTAATAAGAGAGACAGGCTCTTTTTTCTCACTTTGAGACAGCTCTTGTTCAGTTTCAGAGACAGCTTTGTCAGCTTTCACTGTAGTATCTACAGACGTAGCGGATCCTCTGTTAATCACAGAAGTAGATTCGGTTTCTGAAATCTGCCTATTTACTGATAAAGTTTCCTTGGGTTCCAATGTACCAATTTCTTCATTTTTGGGTTCATCTTTCTTGGCATCATTTGCAGAAATGCTTCCTCCCTTCTTTTTGGATGGCCAAACAGGCGAGAACACTTTGGATTGATCACTTATTCTCTTTGGGATCTTTAAAATTCTTCTTTTAGGTTTTTTATCTTTTGTGGCTGCTTCAATTAGATCGTCTTCATTGGGGGCTGATTGAAGAGCAGTGCCACTTTGTGGTGGGCTTTGGGACAAAAAGAGATAAGCTTCAGATTTGAATTGGCCAAAGAGATAAATCACAGTAAATTATATTCCTTAAAGCTCAGTATCATCTTAAGTACAACAAAGACCCTGAGGAGACAATAACGTTTATTCTATTCTAAAGACGCAAGACAAAGTTACACTAAAGAAACAGCCATTCACAAAATATAACATCCCCATCAACAACATGTTCTTAATCATTGCATTAACCGTAAATAAAATTGTTCAATCTTGTATTTTTTCTGTCCTTCATCACAAATATCAAAGACACGCAGAGAAGTGACATGCAACATTTCCATGGTGCACTCACCCTGTGTCCTGCTCACTCGAAGTCATTACTGTTTGATCTTCATCCCGTTCTGCTGCCTCAGTCAACTGCTTTACTAACCATCCTTCACTCTCCAAGGAGAAAACTGAGTCTTGCTCTTTGTTAGATTCTGGAACCTTCTCCGGCTTTTTCTCGGCCTCTTCAAAACTCTCATTGGGTATATCCTCAGCAGTCAGAGGTGGCCATTTCTTAAATCTTGCCCAAACTGGGAAGGCATCATCTTGCATGGCCAAAGGGACTGAACATGATCTCTTATCGAGCAAGTCCCAGGCAGTTTCCTGAGAAGCCCTTTCTTTCTTATCAGTGTTCATAAATTGCATATCTGAAGAAACTCTGGGCATGGCTTTGACTTTGCTATGAGCAGACTGAGTCCTGTCCTGCAGACTCACAGATGAGGTGGTCTTCAAGTGCTGATCATCCTCTGCAAAAGTAGGGCTAGCTGGCCCCAACATAGTAGCTACTGAGTCATAACTGTGAGGAATGGAGACTGGGGTAAGTGGATGATCTCAAAATCCATGCAAAAGGTGTATTTATTTTCTACATTGATCATTGTAAGTTGGTTGGTGATTGTTGAGCTTAACAATGACATGCACTTGATGTTGAGAATTGTTTCTGCATGCTGCATCTTACTTACCCTTTCTGAAAAACATCTACAATTGACTTAAGAAGATGGGGAGATGGGGTTTCAGTCTGCTTCTCTGGTATCATTCCCTCTGCTTCCAAAACCTCCCATCCTGGTTCAGTCATATCCACCAAGTTCATCTTTGTTTCTGCTATCTCAAGCTTTTCTTTTTCAGGTTCACTGGTGACCCAGATAATATAATAATTATACTATTTGCAAACAAAAACCACACTATCCATGCACAGAACGTTATGCAAGCTACTTCACTGCAAATCAGGCAACACAAGTGCCACTTACCTAGTTTTTTCTACTAGTTTGTGAACTGCATAGACACCATTTGTCCCGTCTGTTATAGAAGCAAATGTATTAAGAAAATGACTAAAATGATCACATTAGCATTGTGATCACAGTGTACTTTCTTACCATATGATTGTTCTGTGCTGAGCGCAGGGACAACAGTAGAGATTTGGACAGGACTTGACTCCTCTGGAATCTCACTGGCAGGTTTTAAACAGTATATACTTATATACTCATCAATTTCTTCAGTTACAGATTGTTGCCGTTTTTGATCAATATCTTTATCTTGTGCTATTATCTTTGTTTCTTTGGCATTAGGTAGAACAAGTGCAGGGGATTCATATGAAAGACTTTCAGTAGGGAGAGATGTCTCAGTAATTTCTTTTTCCTCCTTTGTAGTAAATATTTCCTGTGTGTTCACCTTGGCTGGTTCCATTGTTTCTATGGAATTGCAAGTAGGTAATGTCTCTTCTTCTGGAATAGATTCTTGTAAGAACTTTACAAGAGGTACTGAAGTAATACTAGAGGCTTCATCAAAGAGCGTTCCTGTGGGTTCTGGCAGAGAGCTCTCACTCGCTGTGACATGAGTGGATGGAATTTCACATGATACACTGGAACCATCAATGTTGGCATCTTTCACAGAGTAACTCCACTGCATAATACTGGGGAAACCTGGGACTTTAGCCATTCGAGGACACAATGGTGCCAAATGTATGGCCTGCCCTATCTTTTCCTCGTTAGGTTGATGTTTTATAGTACACACCTTTTTGTTGTAATGTCTATCAAAGAGTGAGTCCTGCTGTGATGGTACAGCAGGCGGTAGCCAATCAGTGTTTAACATCCTCGCCGATGGAAAGCCAGGCGAGCGTGACATACATGGAGAGCATGCATAAATACTCACTATGCTGTGGGGCATATTTAGAATGGGAGCAGATGGTAGGCCGAACACCCGGGCTTCTTTTGGGCAAGACAGAACCATCTTCATCATACTTTTCAATGAGACTGTGTTTGGATGTGGGGGTCCCGCATGTAAAATAGTCTTTATTCCTCTTTTATAAGAACTAGTCCAAAGTGGTTTTGTTTCATGCATGAGCCAATGTGCACTTGATGTATTCGTTAAAGAGGCAAATCCTTGCACAGTGGAATCCCTAGGACAACATGGCACCAGACGAGTGTTATTGGATTGACGAGGAGCAGAAGGACAACCAAAGATCCCTGAGGAGGGAGGACAACATGGTGCTAACAAAAACATTGTGCTTGGGTTTTTGTCAAGAGTTGAAATATCTTCAACAACAGCTCCCTTTACAGCCCTTTCACAAATTGCTAACTCATCATCGGCAATCCAGTTGGAATATGAACAACTTTGAAGAGAAGAAAACCCAGAAATTCCAGACTGTTTTGGACATAAAGGCTCGAGAGCACTCATGTTGTATTGAGGGACTGATGGAAAACCCAGATTTCTTGCTTTTCTTGGGCATGAAGGAACCAGAGAAACATTTTCATCTGATCTGACAACAATAAGTTTCAAAGTTGCTAAGTTAAACTCAACATCCCTCTGTGATTTGTGGATGCATAGGCTCTTGGAAATACTAGTTTGGTTTGTTTTAACCTCTTGGATTGATGGAAATCCCGGAATTGCAGAAACTTGGGGGCATGAAGGAACTAGTCTTATTGCACTTGCCCCATAATAAACAACTTGTGGATTTGGGACAGATGGGAAACCTGGGCAGCCTGGTTCCTTTGGACAAGATGATGCAAGACATACCATTCCGTTCATTGCTTTTGTGTCAAATGTTCTGATCAGTGTTGGTCGAACCTCTGTTAATTTAGATGCAAAAACCTCTCCTTTCTTTAGATGCCACTCTTTACAATCAGGACCAGATATAAACCCTGGTATTTGAGATAATTTACAGTATGAACTTGATACACTTGCCCCGATTCTTGGAGGACAAGATGGACATCCATAAACTGTTGATTGTTTTGGGCAACTTTTAGCAAGGCTAATCATGCCATCATCATATTTGCATGTTTCATTGAATTCCATGGATGGTGTAGGTGTTTTTGAGCTCTTTTCTAAAATTAAACTTTGAGTAACTTCCCAGTTTTTAATATCACACTCCTGGAGAGATGGGAAGCCAGGTACAGATGCAAACGCTGGACATGAAGGACACAGACTTATCCCAGTAGAACCACAAATAAAAACCGCAGACTCTGAACCAGATGGGAACCCTGGAATAGTGGCAAACATGGGACAAGTGGGAGCAATGGCTGGCATAGCTGTCATGTCCTCTGTAAAATGTATTTCTTTGATGGAGGCTGTTTGATTTTTTAGCAGTCTTGCACCTGACATTTGGCAGCTGATTGACCAGGTTTGAGTGCATGGTTGAGATATAGATGGAATACCTTGTATCAAAGAGTTGAGAGGACAGGAGCTCACGAGTTTAGTCATATTTACTTCAGCACCTTGAGAAACTTGTAAAATGTGTTTCTTGACACAAGGTTCTGTTATAATAATATTTTCTGGATCGTCTTGTAACATTGATGGCCCTGTCTCCATATAAGGAACCTCTTCAGGGGCTGCTCTTGCATTATTTTCAAGTGGAAAAATTACTTCTTCAAACTTGTCATCATGCTTTTCCTGTGTCAGTACACCTGCATCTGCCCATAGCTCTGTAAAGTCATCGTCATATTCAACACCTACATTGCTCTGTAATCCTTCTGATTCAAGGCTTAGTTCCTTTGCATCCAATTCTACAAAGCTGTCCAGGGAACCTTGAGGATCTTTCTTGAAGATATCCATCTCATTTCTGGATAACTCTTCAGAAGTTTCAGCCAAGACTCTCTTTGGAAGTTCCTCCCACTCTATGGACATTCCAGACGTTCCACAATTCTCTGTAGATGATCTCGGTAACTCCTCCCACACAATAGTACAATCTTTGAAAGGCTTTCCCATCTCTTGTTCAGCATCAACCAAATCATATCTAAAGAAAGAATGAGAACAGAAAATATAAATTGTGGATACTGAGAATAGAAAGAAAGGAGTCAGTACTTGCAAGTTCACTTCAAACATGCCCATATTCTGATTTCTTCTTTGGTCAAGAAAAGGCCAAATGCATCACACCATGCAAATATTAATCCCTCTCTGATATATTGTTATGTATGTATTCTCAGAATAATAACTTAATAACCTATTAATTACAAAGCAAACATGCTGCAACTGAAAATAAACGTCTTGTACTCGAGAAATTTGCTGGCTGATCCACCCCAAGGACACTGAAAAACCTCCTCCCATGCCACTTGCTTCCAGGATATGACCTGATTTTAAAAACGTTGTGCAGATGCATTGTCAGACAAATGCATCACAACCAAGCAACCCACCTCTTCCTAACACTCAACAAAATTGGTAATTCTGGAACTGTGTGCCACATTCTGCAGGGCAAACCCCTGTAACAAACACAGATGAAATGTAATGAAAGAAAAATGAACCAACAATATGTTTTAAAGAATGCCAATCCTATCACTCACCAAAATTCTTGGGACACGTCGTCTAAGTTCGGTTGATTATTTTGGTTTAAATTAGAAGGGTCAATGCTTCTTTCTTCTATTTGTTCTTGTACTGAGAGGTCAGAAGTGGGTGGCAGAGCTATATTAATTTTATCGACTTGAACTCCTGACAAAAGGTTTTGTGTATCCGATGCTACATTGGGAGGTAATTCTGTTTGACTTCCAGTTGATTCAAAAACATTAAATATTTCTACGGACCTGAGATTTTCTGAATGTTTACCCTGTATTGAAGGTAGTCCAAAAACAGAAGATTCATTTGGACAAGACGGGGCCATATTTACGGGAGAAAATTTTTGAGTAGACACAGTCTCTGACTCTCTGAAAAAAACCATAGCTTTAAGATGGGTGACTGAAATAACATCATAAACTAACTTTCTGAAAAGAAAACTGTTTTTGTCCAAACAGGGAGAGTGTTCTCTGGAAGTTAAACCAATGACAGAGGATCGTTTTGGACACTGTGACATGAGAGAAGAGCTTTGGTATGAGACTCGGGGGGCTGAGGGAAACCCAGCAGCGAGGGCTCGCAGTGGACACGATGGGAGCATTCTCAGCATTAATGACCTGTCTTCAGGCAAAACATACATGCTCCAAGAATGTACGATTAAATCTATCATCAGAGATCTTTCCCAGATTGGATTTCTACTCATATTCCAACCATGATACTCTTTCTGTGATTTGGAGGGGAGACCTGGAATTGCACTATGTTCTGGAAATGTATCTAAAGAGGCAAACACATCTGATGGTTTTGTTGTCACGCGTGGCACTGAAGTTTGACATCCCTTTGAAGGAAACCCATAAATATTTGACTGTTTGGGGCAAGGTGGTAACATTGATACCATAATTGTACCAAACAGCTTTCCAACAGCATATGGGTTTTGATCAGATATAGTCCAAGGCGTCTGTGTTGGCTTTTCATAAATTGAAATGTTATTTATGATCCAGTTGTGAGAGTCTTTCAACATTATAGATGGTATTCCACAAACTTGTGAATATGTAGGACAGGTGTGCAGCTGACAGACAATACTGGGTATATGCTCCAGGACCTGACCAGACAGGGATGGGAAGCCCGGTAAACATGGTGTTTGTGGACAGCTGGGACGCATATATATCATACTCTGGTTATGATTCTGCTGATTCTCATCTGATTTAACTATCGGCTGTTGTAACACTGACTCTGTTTTCTTTGGTGATGTCTGAAAGAGTGTGTTTTTACATAGAAACCAATTCCTCTCAACTGATTCACAACAACTCTTTGAAGGAAATCCTGGAATAACACTTTCTTTGGGACATGATGGCATCAAATTCACCATACTAGGCTTGTGGCGTTGAGCGGAAGGCAACCCAAATATTGTACTTTTTGTGGGGCAACTTGGAAACATATTGACGATTCCTCTCAGCATTGCGTTGTCTTCAGTTAGGCAAGCGAGGACAAAAGGCTTGGGCGTTTTCTTGTGTATTTCGTGACTAAGATGTTTCAACATATGCCAGCCTGTATACAGAACATTGTCATTGCCAAAGCTGGTCTGAATTTTCGAAGGAAATCCAATAATTGAGCTTTTTGAAGAGCAGCTTGGCAACACCTCTAACATGCCAGGATAATCCCTTTCTAGATAATCAATGGTAATAGTGTCCTGCCGTGGAGCTGAAGGGAAACCATGGATTGCCGTTGTAGAGGGACAGGAAGGGAGTAGATTGACCATTTCTTTTAAAAATTCATAATTTTCTTGTGTTCCAGAATCTATGACAAAATCATACCACATTTTCTTTTGTGGTACCAAGTCCTGTTGGAAATGCCAGTTGTATGTTTCTCTTGGGCTTCGTTTGGATGGCATGCCAGTGATATTTGTTTGGCCCGGGCATGTAGGGAGTAGACTGGTCATAGTTGGACTTTTTGTAGAATAACGCTGCTCAACTGAAGGGAACCCAGGGACACTTGCCGTTTTAGAACATGTAGGCAAAATGCAAACCATGATTGCTATCATTTCAGGGTCAATGTTTCCATGGACTTTACTGAACAATATTGGCTTTTTCATCAATGGTTTTGTCAGCAAAATACATTTTGTCCCCGAAGTATGTATTTTCAGGTCTGTTAAAGGACTCAAAGACGGAAAACCTGGAATGCTGCAAGTTTTTGGGCATGTCCCCAAGATATTGACAATACTTGGCTTCAAGGCAGATGGAAAGCCTGGTATACTAGCCGACCTTGCGCAAGATGGTGCTATTGTCACCATTTTTGGAAAGTTTTCGCTCCCAATTATCTGGTGGTCCAGGTTGTGTTGCAAGAGTAGAGGTGCTCTTTTATGGGGCGACATGTATAACTGGTTATTAGCTTCAGAGCAAGAAATAACCGAAAGCTGATGCAATGAAGGCATTCCAGGTACAATGGACGCCTGAGGACAACTTCTAATTATCTTTGTCGGTGTGTCTTCACAGATCTTTGCTTGCTGCGTGACCGTCTGCAAGTGACAAACTGATCTCTCTTTTGGAATTAGAGGCCCAATCTCCACTTGAGAAATAAACAAATCTTCTTTTAGGATTTCAGTGCTTGACTTTGATGGAGACGTATAATCCAGTTTCAAGGGAGTCTCTTGAGTAGAAGTCATGCTGGGTAAGATCTTGTTTGAATCAGCCAATTCGGTCTTTGCAATTATAATCTTGCTTTGTGATTTTCTACTTTGCATACTGCTGGTTATATGTGTACCCCCATTTTCTGAGTGAAGGCATTCTTCAAGTATAGGCAAAATGGCAGTTCTAAAGGAGGAGAAAATATACCACCAATTACTATCATGGATGAGTCTGCTCTAGGATGCTTAAGGGACATTGCACTTACCCAGAATCTCTGACATGGGCATCTGATTGCGTTGCTTTTGTTGTCCTTTTTCGTTGTTTTGTTTGTTTTTTGGATGCATTGGGGTGTAATTCTAAATGCGGTTTCGGTAGTGTGGGAGGAGCACACTGCCCTCTTTCTGGAAACAATATATTTCCTTTAGGTGCTGTTAATAACTGCATATTTGGAGCCATTTCTGCGCAGTTACCATAAATATCTAGTGTTCGTCTGTACATTAGTGTATCCTTTGGTATTTGGCTGATGTCTGCAAGGTTTGATCCTGTTTCTAAAGACGTTTGAGGACTAGTAGACAGGAGTGAGGCCATGCTCTGAAGTCTAAGGAATAAACAAAATCCAATATAAATTCATTTGGCTGAGTGTTGTCTATACAGCAATACACAGTTGAGTAGAAGATAAAAGCTATTACTGCAAGCATCAATGCCAACAACACAACCGTAGAAACTAACATCTAAAATGACTGCCAAGCACACAACAAGAGGCAGCCATTCTACCAAGACCACTCCAACAATATGAATTTAGGCATAAAACTTCTACTTTTCAAACCTATAATCACAACAACTGCAAAAAGCTCTCATCAGCTTCAGTGTATGTCCAAGAGATGTTTACAATTAAATAGTTTCATATTGGATTATGTTAGTAACATTTCACTCAGAACCAATGTTTTCTGCCATTCAAGTGTTAAAAGCAACCAATTCAAAGAAATTTCAGAAACCCAAAAACACACAGCCAAATCACACACATGTGTTTAAAAGGCATAGAAAAAGTGAAGACTAACCCGGGTGATGTTTTGACTACTTCCACTCCAAACTTTTGGACAGCAGGGGTTTTGTGCTCAGCAGCTGAAAAACAAGCATAATGCCATGTAAGAACATAGTCCAACATTTATCAGATGAAGAACTAACCCAAGATGCTAGAGATTTTATTTTAATCATAATTCAGGGTGCTTGCTCTTTTTCCAAATTAAAATTCCAGACTTTTTCCAGACTTTTTAAAAACTGATATTTTTTTAAAAAGGGTTAGGGTTAGGGTATCAATGAAGTAGGCAGTACTTCAACCAATGAAGTACTGCCTACTTCATTGGTTGAGATTGTACCAACTGTGTTTATTAGAAATGTTAATTTTTTTAACCATACATTTTTTTCCCATACTTTATTAAGACTTTCACACAAAATTCAAGACTTTTCAAGGTCTGGAAAACAGTATTTCAAATTCCATACTTATCAAGCACCCTGTTAATTAGTATAGTTATTATTCATTTATCTTGTGCTGTGTGCTCCTCATTCCTGCTGTCCTATAACTTGTGGTGCAACATTGTGGGACGAATAAAGGCTCTCTTAATTTCTTAATCTTAAGAGAAAGTCAAAAATATCGGCCTGCACAACAGGAGAAATTAAAACATATTCAAACCTGACACAAGAGAAAACACAATTTTAAAAGTATGTAGATAGAGAAAGAAAGATGTCCTCAGCAATTGCGAGTGGTGGTAGAGTGGTGTAGGATCAGAAAGGGTTTGAGGCTGTGTGTGTGTGTGTGTGTTTTCTTTGTGTCGAATGAGTGAGAGCAGTTGGAGCCAAATACACATCTGCTTTGTCCAACCTCTTTTCAAACTGTGTATTTTTGTTTATTCTGTATCTTGTTTGGTTGTTTGTTGTTGAATGTGTGCACAAGATTTAAATAATAATAATAAATGCCTTGGTTTTAAGTGCAGAGAGAGTGTGTTTGTACTAACATGTAGAGAGTGTGTCCTCTTCGTTCAGGGTGCTGAGCTGTCGGTGGACCTCTGCAAAAAATCATTGTGTTGTTAATACAGCAGAATTTACTTTCAGCAAAGCAAAGTCATGTCAACAAGCACTCAACCATGTATGCGTTTTCCAGAAAGGCCAGTCCGGAAGTGAGAACGCAGCTGGAATAGTTCGCACATTGATTGAGTGTGTGTAAAATATTTGATTCTAACTAAATGGAATGCAAGAAGAGCTCTGGTAGTATTCAGTTCTCTCCCTGGATGCTACATCCATCGTCTTTTGAGTTGAAAGTCTGTTTTGATACCTGTGTCCTGGTCTTTGACAGAAGCTTTGACAACAGTGTGGGTAAGAGAGCAAGAGGAGGCGCCCCAGACACAGCAGAGGGGGTGCTTTCTACTCGAGGGGGAACAGGAGGTCTCCAAGAGGGGACAAATCCAGAGGAGGAAGCTAACGGGACAGACAGGACAGATCAGAAAGATGGAAAAAGAAGAACATGGGGAGAGAATGGAAAATAAACATAAAAACATAGGTAAAAATGTTCCATCCATAACTTTCAAAGCAAGGTCTAGTCACAAAGGCTGGCTGCGTCAATGTTGTAGAGTGCTATTTCGGTTGGAGGGTAACTCAATAGGACAGGGGTGTCAGACTCATTTTTTGTCCGGGGCCGGGTTTAAAAAAATAATATCTCCCAGGGGCTGAACGTATGAAATTGTTCCAAGCTGCATTAACCATCTGCATCTAGTAAGTAAGTAAGTAAGTAAGTTTTTATTTATATACCGCCTTTTCACTGCAGATCTGAGTCTCAAAGCGGTTTACAATTGTTAATTTTGGGCATTTGTCTCTCACTCCACACAGAGATGGGAGCGGGGCCAGTACAGGAGGCGCATGCTAGAACTATTGGACATATTTTTAGTGGTAGGGGAAACCGGAGCACCCGGAGGAAACCTACGCAGACACGGGGAGAACATGCAAACTCCACTCAGAAAGGCCCTGGTCCGGCCGGGATTTGAACCCAGGACCTTCTTGCTGAGAGGCGAGAGTGCTATCCACTCAGCCACCGTGCCGCCGCATCTGTGGATATTTTTATTTGCGTGTTTTACAGTATGAAGATAATTAAACGATAGGATTACTTCAATTTTTGTTTGGATTATTTTCGGATAGATTTTTCTTTTCAGTTACTGTATGTTTGAAGTGAACCAAAACTGGACAAAGTTAAAGGATTTCTCAATTATCTTTATTTTTTTAAATGTACAATTTATAATTACGAGTTGGGTTTAAATACAATGTATGATAAGGGTTGTTTTCTTGAGCGAATTGGCTTTTTATAACACGCCATGGTATAACACACCATGGTAGCTCATAATAATTCGACCATCAATGCTGCAAGTTAATAATAATTACAAAATAATTTCAGGGGCCTCTAAAAATGGTCTGGGGCCGCATTTGGCATTGTGTTAAGACACCTGTGCTCAAGGAAATAATCAATGATATGGCAAGAAAATGTTGAATAAAAAAATCTTCAAATAATTTTACAGATTATTATTTGAAATTTGATTTGAGTTTGATTATTTTTATGTATGAAAGTGCTTTCTATTGCTTTCTTCTTTCTAAACACCTTTATGAAAACAATATAAAATAACCATAGTTTATGTGTACTGCCAAAGAAGTGACCGTCTTTGTTTCATGTGGATCAGCCCAAGAATTACAAAGAAATTAGCTATAAAAAAAAAAGTTACCATAGTTTCCAGGAAAGATTATTCAACTGTCCTTCAGCACAATTTAAAACGACAGCCTCGTTGGAATATTGTGAAATCACATGAACGCAACCTATTGTCAGAAACTAATTAACTACTCTAGTGAATATTAGCTAATGTTAGTATTTCACAGAACAAGGAGAGTTAAAAGACAGACGACGGAAAGGGTTGGACACATATCATACGTGTCGTGTCTATTTTCTGCTTTTTCTGTCCCGCAGTGGTCAGCCCCGGGTCGTCAGCGTTTCGAATGGAGAAACTTAGGAGACAGGGCGGGCTGAGAGAGTGGGGCTTGGGTTTTGGGGGGCATCCATTCAGTCTGCCAGGGGGCTGGGGGGGGAGAGCAGGGGTGAGGATGAGGGAGACAAGAGCATTTTAAAACCAACTCTTCTCACTGAGGTCTTCTCTACCTGACTCAGGGGCAGAGGGTAGACTGGTGGGGCGGGTGAGGAGCGCACACCCAGAGTCCGCAGAGGAGACCGGGTTTTGGGCCTCCTGGAAACAGCTGGAGGTGGAGGTAGGAGAGGGACAGGGGGAGCGAAGGAGGAGGTGGAGGGAGAGGGGGGAGAGCAGATGGAAGGAACGCTCTGAGTTCTCCAGGAGGTGGGACCAGCTGAAGTCACACAGAAGAAAGATGTGGTTGATGAGGCATTTTAATTACGTCTTTTTAATAACCCGATTATATTTTGTCAGTAAAGAAAAGTAAATTATATTCTCCTGATTTCATAAGGGTATTACTCTGACAAGTTACATTCTTTGTTTTCTTAACTTGTGAGGGTTGGCTCAGCAGTTTCCCAGAATCACTATTTTTTTTAGGCAGATACTGTATTTTCATAGTGACATAAAGGTCAAGCAGAAATGTTAATGTTGAGTAAGGAATTCAAATAAATAAATAAACATGTGGTGACATACAGTAAGGCTACCTGCTCGTGTGGGTTGAGGATGGAGGAAAAGAGTCAGAAGGGGCAGAAGAAAGAGAAGACGTGAGCGTATTGGGAGGAGTGGAGGACAGACCCAGGGCTTTCCAGCCCTCAGACTGGAGACCAGTCACAGTGGAAGCTGTGGGGGCTTCGGGGAGCGCGCCGAGGAGCTGCAGAGGGGAGCAGCGGTGATGGGAAAACACAGGAGAGAGAAGGATCTCAGTGAACAGAGAAAGATTTAGAAAGAACATAAAGACAGTGATTGTATGTACGAATAGTAACGCAATAGTAGCCCATGCTTTACAAGGCAGTGATCCCTGTTTTAGAACATACTTCTCCCAATACTTGAAAAATACAAAATAAGTAAATATTTTTTCCTTTTTAGGGAAATAAATGTATCTGCACCTGGTCTCTTCATTTCAACTCTCCTCCAATAACTGACAAGTTCATTGAAAAAAGTACATCAAATCATTTTGAAATGAAAAATCATCTAATTTAATAATAAAATTAAATATACTAATCATTTGCACATGCCAGGGTTTAATGACTTAATTGCATTAAAATGTCACAGCAAACACGTGAATTCACTTTAGTGGTGGGAAACGGTTTTAAAAATCCTGTTTTTGAAATTACGTTGTGGACTAAATAAAAAACAAAAAAATGTTCTGCATATGCACAATCCAGATGAAAATGGCCTCTCTTAAACTTCATTTTTGGTCACATTATAGTTAAACATCTTGCATTAACTGGAATTAGTTACAGCCCTAAGCAAAACCATGAAAACAACTGTGTAAATAAAAGCCACTGTACTGCAGTAGAGTTGCCAAAAGTATAAAAAACTAGCATCAAAACTGTATAATATACTATTTGAGAATGTATCATATTACATAAACTTGAACATTGTAGTTTGAACAAGTTTCTGAAAAAGAACAACTATTTTTGAAATATCATTTTGATTGGTAAAAATGACAGCCTGATTGTTGTGCTGACTTTTGGAGCGAAGTAGAAGTTTCTCTTTGCTGAAATCCATTGTAACTCTGATGAGCTTATAGTCCAAACCAAAGCATTGTTAAATCACAAAGAGTGGACTGACTGAGTTCTAACGTCACCATAGCGTTTTCCAAATGTGGAAGAAGCCAATTTGAACATAAGCTAGCAGGAGCCCAATTTCCTTTTATGGGCAATTGATCTGACAAGGTTGGCTTTGTGTCATAGATGGGGGCAGATGCAAACAAACATGTTGCTAAGATGGTTGCTAAGACAAGGTCAATGCTTATGGCACAAAAACAATACTGTATCAAAATAGAAACATCAGGATTGTAGAGAACGCTAAATGTTGGTGATTCTGACACGAACGGTTACTGAGCTAGAGGAGGTTATTTTTCAATGTAAGTCAATAGGAGATAGAGCACGAAAGGGAAAAACTTTATTCCACGAGAACTACCCTGTTGGGCTTCATTGTGCTAGGGGATAGCATTGTCCGTCTGTATACAGTCCTATGTTAAATCATCACTGTGATATTGGACATTTGTATTAATATATTGAGTCAATTCATAGGTTTGCAAGGTGAGCATCATGACCAAACTGAACGCAGGCTTGTTCTCTCCTCTTGAGCAATACCTGTTGGTGGCCCCCGGCTGGAATGATGCGGGGCAGGGCAGGTGGGTGGGCGGGGTGGGAATGCGGGCAGTGAGTAGTCATACAGAGAAGATGGTTTATTGGCTTCAGGGACAAGGGGGGGGTGCAGAGGGGTAAATGGGGTGAGGGTGCTGAGATGGTGGAGAAAAAGGAAGGAAGAGTGCTCTGGTCCTTGTCTGGAGGTACATACACGCGCACACACATGTACACACACATACACACACACGCACAGATGACAGGCACATGGGAGAAAGAACGGAATGGAAAAGAATGAATGAAAAAGTGGTCCAAAACAAGTTACAGAACTGGATGTCCGTTGATTGAAAGATTGAAAAAGCTTGGTACAGAACTGCAGAAGGGGAATTATTAGGGCTGTCAAAATGATCGCCTCCGTTTTAACTGCATGTCCGAATGACCGCCCATTTATCCATAATATCACTCAGAATGCCGCGGACAGATGCGTGAGATGGCACCAGAGCAGGTAGGCCCTCTGGGATTCAAGTTTTTAAAGAATACGCATGTGACCGCGGGGCTGTTGTTTGCTATGAACTGAAGTCCGCATCCCGGGGGCAGCTGCGGCCGCTCTGGTTATTGTTAGCGGCAATAACCTGGCGAATGGCGCCGCGGTTAGACCATACACGCCACAGGACTATTCTCTGCAAGTTGTGTGTGGTGTGTCTGTTGCAACCTGTGCGTAACTGTGCACGCCAAATACACCGCGAAAGGTGTCCGTGTCTCTCCAGAAAATAAACTAACTTAACTAAACTCGCTAAATTAAAGCTGGGGTACGTACATTTTCCCCTTTCATTAACA